ATTAAATCTATGTTGCATTTCAGGCCAAGATTTATCAAGAAAAGTCTATTTATTATCAATTAAATTTTTAATTTCAATATCGAGTTGTTCAGTGTGTTGTGTTGTGTTCATTTTTATTTGTTGTTATATACTTTAAACAATCGCTCTTTTTTTTTTCATGGGAGGCTACCAATATAAATAAAAAAATTCAATTTTTATTATTTATATTGTAAATCAATAATTAATTCGGCCACTGATGGTTATACCGATCATAGCAATTTTATTATCTCTATTACAGCTAGTAGATTATAATTGGTTAGACAACTAATAGCAGGACACCTTGCGTGTCATCATTTTTGAGAGCTGTGTGTATATAGGGACTTACATTTCCAGTACTTAAGTCTAGGTTGAATGACACTTCCTTCATCATCATATCGAAATAAGTCTTAACCCGTCAACCCAAGTTTTGACCCATCAGGTTGAATAGGTCGAATCGGGTAAGTGTTTTCTTGAACCGCGGGTCAATGGGTCAGAACCTTGACCTGACCGACCCATCCAATTGCAACAACTAGGCAGAAGATGATCTTTATTTGGGTGTGTCAAATATGAAAATGCTGCAATTCATATACAAATTAGAGATTCTACGTATGAAAAACGAATTCCCGGAGTCGAATATTATAGGTCTCCCTTAGTGAATAACTAATGGCTCCATGGCAAAAAGTGAAATGGGCTCAAGCGAATAACTAGTAGCCTAACGCGAAAAAGGACTTGGTCGTATATAAAAAAAGGTCCACCCACAGGCGAATCCGAGCTGAGTCTGATCGCAAAAAACGCACTGCCCGAGCACGAAAAATAGGGTGTCCACAAGCGAAAATAAGCTTGTCCACAAGCAATTTTCATAAGCAAAAATTGCCCACTCCCCAAAGCTAGAAACCCGCTCATCATCAGGCAAAAAAGAAGCTTGGGCCTGTAGACGTTTTGAACGCAAAATCCGGTATCATATGCAACAGCTGTTGTCCCTGCGGTCACGTAATTTGTTGATTGTAGTGGTTTCGGTAGCTCTTATCCAATTTTTGAGGTCCCGCTAAAAAGAAATAAGAGCCGACTTCTACTGAGTGTACTGTGCATGCTTCTTCTTTGTGTCAAAACCATAGCAACAAATCGTTGAATCCTTAGTGTCAATCACCAGAACCATTAGCGACAATTACCATAACTATAGCAACAATTCGTTCAATACTTAGCAACACTTATCGAAATTATGGATAACAACTACCAAGGATACACTGGTACGGACCAGGAAAGAGGAGCATAAGAGCCAAAGAATGAAGCTCACGACGTATGTTGCTTATTTGCAAATGATAGAGCTATGTGGCTACATTGCTGGTACTGATACACCAATGCTAGCAGGCTTTGTGGACAAGAATAAAGCACAGATAGGTGCCTGGAGTCAATCGACTAAAGACTGGACTGGAATGGCAAGCATTTGGTCGCGTCGATTTGTCTTGGATTACTTTTAAAATAATTTAGTAAATGAAAAGAATCTCTCTATACTTTTAAATAATTATAGCATATAAAGATAATTAATACTAATACCATTAACATTTGCTTGGTTTGGTTTGCTGCCTAGATATCCAGGGGGCAAAAGTGGTATAGTTTTAAGACAACAAGAAACCTTAAAACCTACCTTTTATTTTGATTTCCCCTTTTCCTCCCTCGTCTTTTTAATAGACTACCACTAACAAGATAAATAATAAATAGATTATTTTATGTATATAAATTATTTGTTACTCACAATTATACAAGAGATTCTTACCTAGAGTTTATCCTAGATTCACACAAACAAGGATAACATATGGGTTGATTGGGGATATTTAATACCTAAATAGATTTACTGCGTCATAGAGGATTATTTTAATTTAAGATTTATAATAGTGGAACTTCTACCAATCTTAATCACCTCAAATTTGTTTAGTTTTAGTCTTTCTTATAAACTATAAAAGTAAGGAGATGACAATGTAAACCAACCCCTTGATTAAGAGATTCTCCTTTATTATAATATTATATTCACACAATTTAATTCAAAACAATTTTTGAAGACAGTAGGTGCAATTAGAACATTAGGTGGTCTTACTTCAATATATCATTTAACTAAAATGAAATTAAAAAATGATTTAAGATTGAAAGAAAGAGAATTAATTCTTGAAGAACAAAAACATCTTTTAGAAAGAGATAAATTTGAGTTTGAAAAAGAAAAATAGAATAAACAATTTCAAGAATTATTAGATTCAAAATCTTCTTCAAATCCTAATCAAATAATTCTAATTCATCTTCAGAAAATATTACTGTTGATTCAATCTATGAATGGGATCTATTCAATACTACTGATCTAAATCTAACTCAATTTGTTGGATTTGTAGAACTACTAATTGGTTCTATGGTATTATTTTCTTTATTGTTTTTATTAATGGAATATATTCTTAATAAAACAATCAATAAATATCAAGATAAATTACCTAAATGGCTTAAATCATTAGCAAATTTAAGATCTAAATTTATTTTTATCAATTAATTATTACTTATTTTTGAGATTATGATTTTATTAATTTTTAACTTATTATATAGTTTATTCTTATTTATTTATTACCATAATGAAATTGTAGGTTCTGTAGGAATTACCATTTTAAGTTATTCATCTCTTGGTTTAATTTGTACAATTAGTTTATTTATCAGATTATTAATTAATTCTAATAATAAAGTTAAAGATAAACTATTACAAATTAATATTATTCAAAGATTAACTGATAGTAATAAAGAAGTAGATAACCTTTCTATTAAAACAGATATAATTTGGTTTGTTCTACTTCAAAGTATTATGATTGTCTTTACTTTATGGCTATATTTATTTGGAATTATATAATATATATTCCTATAATATGTAGTATAATAAACTATGGGTTCTTATTTAGAACCTTACCCTTTAATTAATCCCTTTAAATAGTATAAACATTCCAATTAAGTAAACTAACCCTGAACCCTAAATAAAAACTACATCGTATCATTATAAATAGAGGGAAAACATTGGGTTAAATTAATTTAAAGACTTATAAATTTATAGAAAAGAGGTTCCCTTCTAAAATTCTATTTTTATGGCTGTTTTTTTTTATTAGATCCTATTTAAGTTATTAAATTGATTTGAATAAATCACTCTTGTGATAAAACATTTTTAAAAATATTTTATAGCAAGGGTGGGAGATTTATTCTTTGCTTCTAGTTTTAATCTTTTCTATCTTAGAGCCATACCCCAACTATCCCCCACTGGACCGGGGGGGTACTCAGCCAATGGGGGGATACATTATTTCATAATAAAAAAATTATTACCAACTATAGATGAGAAAAAATTCATCACAAATTTAGCGATTGCCCTATTCCCCTTCAACTTTCCCGATTACCATAAGGTATTCCACCTTGTGGGGTCAAGTTACAACATATAATATTCTATCAACAAAATATTACTATATAGTTAATGTTTTAACAATTAAATTGAGTAACACAATTCAAACTAATGCTTATTCTACCTTTTCAAAATTTAAAAATATTAAATAGGAAGGAATTAATAAGGATAAAGGGTATTAAAGGGGGGTGGTGAAATATCTATTGATTGATATTCCCCCGAGTTTATAGTTAAAATCCGAAGTGTTCACTAAGCTTATTAAGTTAGCATCTGAGTATTTAGCCTAGGCTAAATACTGTAGTGCTAACTATATTAACTAAATGAGGATTAAAAAATATTTTATTAGGAATAGATTCTAATCCCATAGTATAAGCTAGTAATTAAATTCATCTATAATATTATCTACTAAATTACTATAATCTGAATATTAATACCAATACCTTCATAATTTGGTTCAATTAATAATTCAATATTATTTATACCAGTCCTATTTATCTCTTTTTTTCTGTATCTAGTTTTAGAAAGACTCTTAATTGTTGTTCTAAAATTGTAGTAAAGTCATTGAATGACAATGTTTCATATCTATATTCATTACAAGATTTATAATAACTAGCATATAAATGTGTTTAAGGATTAGAATTCTTTTTACCAATATAAGTTAATTTTCCTAGTTTATATTACTAAATTAAGATTAATCCATTCAATTAATGGATTTGTTTCATTTAAAACATTAGGAGAAGTTAATTTAATTGTTTCATTAGTATTACTTAATAGATTTAAATTTTTAATAGGATTAGATAAAGCCCAATTAACAAGACTTGTTAATGATTCAGCTAATTTACCTTCTGTTTTATCTATATTAAAGCCATAATAAAATAGATTCCTATCTACTTTTTCTGGAACTTTAGTTACTAGAATATAAATAACTCTTCTTTGTAAACCTGTGATAGAGTCTTTTGGTTGCCATAATAAATTACTAGTTAACATTACTAGTGATCTAGGTTGAAAATCGAATGCATCCCTATATTTTCTTTCAGCATTCATAATATCACCTTATATTAATAATCGTAATTTAGCTGGATTCCAGTATAACTTTGTACATCAGAGAATAAGATTAAAGATTTATCCAAATTTTAGAAGAAGTAAATGTTTTATTTAAATCATTAAGATTTAATACTACTGAATTATTAGCACTTACTAAACTAATAAATAATCTCTTTCATATAATTACCTTTAATTTATAAATTAAGCCTAAAAAATAGTATGACTTCATTTTATATTAATGATTTAATGAATAGAGTAGGACTTGAACCCACAAGGACAGTTACGTCCATAGTTTAGTAAACTACTTCCTTACTGATTCAGTCATCTATTCTACCGAGATACCAGGTCTTGGCCTTGGCCTGGGACCTGGTATTTTATTAATTTAATTAAAGGCCTTTGGATAGAAGTTAATCCTTACAGACCAAGTATATAATAAAAGTATTATATTTTAATTATACTTTATAAATGACAAATATTTTTTTTATTTATTAATTTAGGGAATAGTAGAGTTGAACTACTGCCAGTTATGTGTAAGATAACCACTCTACCATTATTATAAACTATTTAGGGAATAGTAGAATCGAACTACCGACTTTTAATTTGTAAGATTAACACTCTACTACTGAGTTAATCCCCTGCTTTTTTATTAAAAATAAAGATATTGTTACTTATATTACTATTAGTTTATTATTTATTTTAGATACTGACAAGACTCTCCATGTGAAGGTTAGTAATTTGAGCTTTATGGGAAATTCTTTAGATTCTAAAGAATTTTTTAATGGAAGTGTTTTTAAATTACATTGATAAGATGTTCTATTAACATTTTTATAATGTCTTAAGAATTCTTTATGACCTCGGCCCAGGGCCAAGATCCCTTCGAGATCGAGGCCCCGGAGGGATTAAAAATTGAAGATTATTTTTAAAAAATGTATATTTATCAATATGTCTTCAAATTAGAAGTATTTGCGCCCAGATATTGAAACAAAGTAAGTATGGTATAAATAATAGTCAAGTCTTTGTTAAACTTTCTGAACGCCTATCATTTTAGCACACGCTGCGATCCACGTATTTGGAAAGAAATCCTCGCTCTTGTAAGTTTTTAGCAGTCAGCAACACATTTTTCATTTTCTGCATAAACACACCACACACAGAGAGAGAGAGAGAGAGAGAGGCTAAGAAGAGAGTATGATACTAACGCGTAATGTTTTTTTAACCAGCATGTTGCAAAGGTAAAGTATCACGTTGAAGCAGTAAAAACAGCAACGGCAGCAGCAGAACCGGCCAATGAGGCTATTCGAAGCGTCCTTCTTGTTAGTTCTTCTGCAACAACAAAAGAGTAAGTGCGAAATGCAATGTGTTGCTGCAACAAATTAGTTGATACTTCCCGACAGTTATAATAACAACATATTCATGTAGAGTTCCTGATGACGACCTTGAATCCGCCAAATCATTATCTAGTATCGATGAAAATCCGAAGAAGCTATACAAAGACCGGTTTGAAGTGTTTCCCTTGGACCTTGACCGAGAAATCAAAGATCGTGCTGATCGGGTAAAAGAAAAAGCAATTCTTTCATTTCAAACGTATTGACAGATAGATATACTAACTGCGTTGCAATCATTAAAGTGGATCGCTTCAAACAATGTCGATATAACCAAGTTGCTCGAGGCCTATCAAAAAAGATCTATTAGTGAAACAAAAACAAACAAAACCATTAGCAATATTCGAGCATTGTAAGTAACTTTTTTATAATTGCTCGATCATTATTGTTTTCGTTTTAACGTACCTTTGAATATATGATATTCTTACATAGGAGCCTCTGTTGCATCTTTTTCTTCGGCCTCAAGGAATCAGTGGTAACCGTCAAGGAAGACGAATTGCTTCGCAACCAATGCAAGCCAGATTTACCAAGTGTGTTGCCAACGTGGGCGAGCGATATCGAACAGGTATGAAAATCATTTAATATGACTATATTGAATTAAAGTCTACAGCTGTCACAAGACAAAGAAACAGACAGCTGGGATATAAAGCAAACAATACACGAATATTAGGCAGCCGCAATCGAGAGCAGAGACTTCGTAGCATCGGTTTTTGTTGATGTTCTGAACAGTTTCGTTGGTGTTCCCTCAGCATGCGATAACAATATCGTAGAGGACACATTGGTACATACATACCTACACGCCCTACTGCACGCACTTTTTGTCAAGGATGCACCGTTCGGCCACAAAAGGTAAGTTGTACTTAGATAGTAGAGATATCAAGTCTCTGTGGTTTTTTGCTTTTTCCAAAAGAATCACTGGAACGTAGACTTCGATATATCTTTCACTACCAAGGCTGACAAGTGTATACTATATTTCTCTTCTTTTTTTTTTGGAAAAGGGCAAACGCTGTGCTGGAATCCTCCCGAGATTCCCCAAACCAGCTGTTCCCTGATTTCACCGCCTACAAACGTGCTTCCAGTCGCACGTACGATTTGTTCGTTGTCGAGGTTAAGCGACCAACCTCCAGCAAATCGGATTTTATAAAAATGGGTATCATGCTTCGCAGCATGATTAACAAGCTAGTTGAACTCAGCGTGCCCAACCCGACAGTATGCGGATTGATCGTGAAAGGTAGCACTTTAAATGTATTTATCTAGTGCGGATTTGGTCTTTGCGTCAATTTATTAACGATAGTTCTGTACCATAGGTTTCAAGTATACAATGTACCGATTAGACCTCAAAGCAAAGCATGTGTACAGAATGGTCGAATTGCAAGAATTCCTTCTGCCACAAGAAAGCTATCAAGTAGGCTGCTTGCCGACTTGTATCCAAGCGTTGGGGCAAGTTAAAGTAAAACAAAGATCCTGATCCATGTTCGCTATACACTGTATACCGCTCCAGCTAATATTATTGATTTAACCAATTCATAGGAGATCCTGGCGCAAACAGCCAAGAACATCAATGATTGCGACCAACTCCTCAAAAACGGAAAAGTTCTTAAAAATCGCACGCCTATTGATTGGATTGTAAAAACACAAGCTTCTTCCATGAAAGAAAAAAAGAACACAAAAAGCAAGGGCAAAGGACCAGCAAGAAGCACATCGTCTTTGAGACAAAAAAGAAAGCGATAATTATTGACCATCAAACACTTACACCCCCATCCTATCTCCTATAATCAAAGCAATTCTTCATTTTTATTACATCGTTTTAAATCAATGTTTGTATTCTCTCCTTTCTGCCGCTGCAGTTGCAGTTGCTGTTGTATCAGTTCCACTTGTTCCATTCTTCGTTGTCCAACGAGCCATTCACTTAAAGACAATGCCTTGTGTCTCTGCTATTCAAAGAGATGAATATTGTTTACAATTATTATACAATATATTAATGTATGAAAAGAAATTATTAAGTGAAAATAATACCAATAAATTAAAAAATGTGGATATAATATTTGATAGAATAAAGAGTATTTTTATTGATCTTGGATTTTCATTTGATTTTCATTATAATACATAATAACTGTTTTTAACATTTCAAACAAATTATGATGATATCTTTTTCTAAAAGCATAATCTAAAAAATACAACGTATATAGCTCAGAATCTTCTTTTATATTGGGCATATGTTTTCTTAAATGCATCCAAAAACCTTCCATACTGTTAGTATGTATTGTTGAATCATTTGGATCCACAAAATATTTCGAATGATCAACTGCTTTATGAATATATCCCATCTTGTTTAAGCTTATATAAGATCGTAAACCATCAGTGATTATAGTTGTTCCTTGATAAACTTGATCCTTGATTATTGGTAATAATGTTGACATTTTTCGATTTTGAACAGGCACCAAAAAGAACAGATTTGAATTTCTTTGATAACCGCCTAATATCCACATATGTTTTCTGTATCGTTTATGCTTTGCAGTAGTAATTTTTGTTTTGCCAAAACAGCATTCGTCGATTTCAACAATTTCATCTTGTCTACCAATTACATTTTTCCATAACTCTTGATTGTTAAGGATCCATGTTTTTATCGCAAAGCGTATTTTTGAATATAATCGTGTAACTGTTTCATCATCGATTCCCATTTGTAGAGACACTTTTATAGGAGAAGGATCTATATAAAAAACAAATTAATATTATATATGTTATCTTATAAAAGATACATACCAATCATCCATTGACGTAAATAGTTCTACTATTTGTATTGGTCGTAGATTTGTTTTTTCAAATAATGTTTCGGCAAATACACCTTTTCTAATATTATCTGGATAATAATAAAATCGATATCTTTGATAATATTTTCCAATAGATAATGGTTTTTCATATTTTTTACAAATAAAAGGTTTTATAAGTCCTTGCTTTTGTAAATAGATTATAGCTTATTCATCGTCGTAAAGTGTTCGAAATAGTGTTTCATTTGATTTAAACATTTTGATAAAGAAAAAGAAAAAAAGTGTTTTATGAAAAATAAAAAAAAACATTTTTTATCATATATTTTGTGTAACTTACCAAAGAACGCTTGTAACCAGTATTTGCGCCCAGATATTGAAACAAAGTAAGTACGGTATAAATAATAGTCAAGTCTTTGTTAAACTTTCTGAACGCCTATCATTTTAGCACACGCTGCGATCCACTTATTTGGCAAGAAATCCTCGCTCTTGTAAGTTTTCAGCAGTCAGCAACACATTTTTCGTTTTCTGCATAAACACACCACGCACAGAGAGAGAGAGAGAGAGAGAGAGAGAGAGAGGTTAAGAAGAGAGTATGATACTAACGCGTAATGTTTTTTTGACCAGTGTGTTGCAAAGGTAAAGTATCACGTTGAAGCAGTAAAAACAGCAACGGCAGCAGCAGAACCGGCCAATGAGGCTATTCGAAGCGTCCTTCTTGTTAGTTCTTCCGCGACAACAAAAGAGTAAGTGCGAAATGTAATGTGTTGCTGCAGCAAATTACCTCTCATATCTCTTTCTATCATGTATACTAAAGTCTTCTTAAAAAAGACGTTTTCTTGCTCTATAACAACAACGCATAATACTGCAATCAGTCCTTCAAACGTGAAACAAAAGAAACATATGTACCATCTTGGCATTTCTGTCAAACGTGTTGTCGTGGTGCCATTTATTGATCCAGTGTGTAGAAATGTCATGTCTTTTTCATATAAATTGCTGTATACATAAGAATAATTCTATATATGGTTGTATTCTTTTTATGAACATTTATAAACAGCTGTTAAAGCATACACATACGTATCTAAACTTAATCTATTGTATACTATCAAGCCGTTTTGCTTGCCATCGAGGTCCGTACCGAGCGAGAAGAAAGATATAAATGTTGACAGTGGCAAGTAGCCCAGCAAAGACTGTAAATGTCCAACCAAAACCCAGTGCCTGTAAACATGGTTCAGTAGCCGCGACGCCCGCGGCCCTTTTAAATTTGATACAGAAAAATGTGTGATTATTTTTCTTATTTCGTCACGTATAGGCATTAAAGGTGGGAATCATATACGACACTAATTACTTACGCAAGATCGCATCGTACAAAAGACATGATACCGCTTACAGACGACCCCTTCTCGGGAAACAGATCTACGACCAGCGTCTGGAAGACAGTGTACATAGACAGTGCCACAAATCCAACTATATACGGCATACACAATAATAAACGGGTGGTAAAATGAGGAATGTTAGTCATGCGGAGAACATCAATCATTCCACCTACTGCACTCTCTTAAATGATTCGTGTATACGTAACTGATAAAATGAAGTACAAGTATGACTGCTAGATGGGCATTAATATACAAACACCATCCGTAGAGAACTACAACCAGCTGCAACAGAACCGGTTGAATCCATGCTGATCTTAAGCGTGCTCTATATATCGAAAGTCCTTTTTCTTTGGCTATACGATAATCACGATCCAAGAGTCGGCCTTCGATAACACTCCCGATTGCTGTCCCACCGCCCATTACCAAAAATGCCAGTCCGACTTGCAGAGGGTTCAATCCGTACTGCTGAGGGAATATCGTTGATGCCGTCGTTTGTACGCTTGACATTATTACATAGTGCATTGCGCTCGATAAAGCAGATAAAGCGACATCCGGCTCGAGGATCAGTTTAAGTTGCTTGAGTATGTTGGGAAATCCACCTTTAAAGAAATATGGTTTCTTACTACTGCCGTTGTCTTCAGCAGTTGTTTGTTGACAACAGACATTAAATTTTGTATAAAGCAGCTGTAATGGAGTACGGTCTTGATATTCAGATCCATCATCGACGATCGCACGCAGAGTTTCAGGAAGAAGAGCAAATGTGATGATACATGCAGTGCTTGAGCCAATGGCAAGAAACCAAAATATCCACCTGCAAAAAGAAATGATTGCACGAATATATATATATATTGGTTAGGAGCCGCAAGGGCAACAGCCTCTGTAAAAGCCATTCAAGTACCTCCAGGATAAAGAGTAGGTTATAGCACCGCCGATGAACAAACTGAATACAGTGCTGAACATGAGAGCGCCCGTAATTACACCGAAGTATCCACCCCGTCTGTAGAAATGGATTGTGGAGTGGCAGATCCATAAGATCCCTTAATATCACATTTCTTTTAAAATGTTCAACGATGACTATATTGCTTACTCTTTTGGCGATGCAATATCGGTCACAACGCCTGCACCTGTTACGCAATTGAAAGGAAAAATAAGACATCTGCTTTTCCGGTCTCGTGGTTTAACACATCATCTTTTTTGAAACAGTTTGTACATAGAGCATTGATTGGGCCGGACACAAAAGCTTGTATCATCCGCAGTATGAGAAAGCCAACAAATGAGTCAACCGTAGCCAAACCAACGTTGCTGGCGATATACAAGATGAATGTTATCAGGAATATCGGTCTTCGTCCCCAAACATCAGCAAACGGACCCCACACCAGAGGGCCAATTCCATTCAATACGCTATATCCCGTTACTGTCAAGTTGACCATGGCAACTGTCGTATTGAAGCTCTATATAAATTCAAATTTGTGCGTCATTGTTACTAACACTTCAACATGATCAAACTAAGCAAGCAAAGCACATGAAGGCTTGAGCTTATTGACGCACAACGTACATTTTTTATCGAATCGATTGCTGGAAAATAGATGTTGTAGGACATCAAATGCACAATATAGTTTATAGTAAGGATGCAAATTATGATTCGTTTGTACGAGGTTGAGAACGCTGAGTATGGCTTCTCCGACTTTCCATCTACATGTTTAATTGGTGGTTATAGTCGAACAATGGCTGACGATGATCAGTCGATAGTAGCATTGTATGCTCGTCGTCGTTTCTGTTGGTACTTAAATATCGTTACCTTTGTCGCTTGAATCGTCATCATCTGAATCATGATCCTCGATCCTTGGAGGAACTTCCCGCTTATCTATACAATGTAAACGATAAAGAGTAATGGGTAACGGCAAAGCATTTATAAAATCGATCCATGATCATCGTCTTTTTCATTTCATTTGTGAGGCTATGCTGAGAATTATTACCGCTCTTCAAAATGTCTGTGGAATTAGCAGCCATCCCAACTGTGATTGTTCTTGCGTAAAAGAGGGAGAATTTGGCATCCGGTGTGAAAAGTAGTTTTATTCGTCGATAACGGGAAAAGGGGGGCTACTGGCAGTGGAGGATGCTAGCCAAATCGATTATAACTGCTATGTAATATCTTTGCCCAGGAGGGTACACTAAAAACGTTGAATTTCTATGTATATGCAAGCAGGCAACTGTATATTTATGCATGTTCTCTACATTTTTTTTGTTTCTGCTTAACGACATGTTGCAACATTACTTAAACTTTGGGATGGTCGATATGATGCCTGTAATCCTTGTATTTTATTCCAGATTACTTGACGTTCGTGTCTGTGTATATATAAAAATTTGCGATTGGAACATTTGGGCTCCGTGACGATAGGAGCCACGATGCACATAACGCATAAGGGGGTAATATCTGAGTTCTTGGATGCATGCTACGAAAGCATATGTATGTGATGACAGTTAGACGATAAAAACTCATTCTATGTTCATGTCTAGAGATCATCGTTATTTTTCTTCTTCAGTCAAGATATCTCCATGCTATCTGTGAGCCGCTTTTTTGACCAGCTCTATCTATTTTGTGTGAATTATTTTAGAGAAAACTAACAAAATAAATTATTTTGCTAACATGTATTTTGGTCGTATGGGCGTTTGTTCAGGAAAAGCTTTCACTTTGACTATCTATTATGCTGTACTGATCCTAATTGAATCTATCCATTGAAAGCTCTCACATAAGAATAGTGTCACGACGAAAACTGATAGTAATTCACAGTAGAAAACTGATATTATTTCGTTGATTGACATTCGTCAAATCATCTTTATCATTATTACATTTGTATGTCCTTTTGTAGTGTAGTACCAGACGCATAGCTACCTATAATGTTCTTCTTCCGAACCCTTTACCTCAACACGTAAGCCACCATTGAAGATCTTCGTTTATCGATGAGCATTTCAGCTGGAGTGACTCGCTGTTGTTGCTGTATACCAATAACCTACAATTTTCCCTCTCTATTACACCCTATGCGTATGCGTGTTCTCAGAGCTGTCACTAATTCAACTGTCCTTTGGCATTGCACCTACAGCGATGCGTGATGATTGTGATCAGTTCATGACCTCCGTTGAAGGTGAAGCGAGTAGAAACCATCTTGGCATGCAGTAAAACTTGAAAATCCGTTTGTCAAACTAATCGCTATGTATTGAGGACTGCCCTATCGATATGATCAACAAAAAGAAAGTCTTCTCACCGCAAAAACCGCTAAAGACAAATCAACGGCTGATCTTTTGTTAACAAAAAATCTTTATTTCATCAGGCACAATATAATTTTGAATACCTGTCATGATTTGTGTTGAATTGCGGTACTCTCAAACTTCATTGCTTCGCATTAAGAACTTGCTCTTTTTCGCGCATCAAAAGAGTTGTGAGCATTAGAAAAGCGACAAACCTTGGAGGTGGGATTAAAAGTCGCAAGCCGTACGTGCTGGCAGCCATTATGTCCTAAACGCTTATGGACGCTTTTTGTCTGCTTGATCAGAGCGGAAACGCAAAACCACCATAAATGTGAAAGTAATTCTCTCTTGAAAATTTCAGAAAAGGCAAACACATTGGCGCGAAGCAACAATGGAATTACGTACAAAACCTCCCAAGGAAGGCAGCGAGAATGGACGTTCTCAAAAATAATCTACATGATGAAGACGCATTTTGCTGTATTATCTCTGTAAGAACTCTTCAGCCAAGCAATGATATAGGAACCAAGACTTGTTTGTACACAGACACGCACATTGGGCGAGCAGGCGAGGCGTTTGCTTTTTTTGCAGCTTAATTTGAATGGACATGATGTTGTACCGCCTCCTATACTTACTGTTTCAGTGCCAGAACCGGATCCGAACGCTGAAGGTCACTCCACAAAGGCAAGAGCTAAGAAAACAAAAAAAGACACATCAGCGAATGACAATGGCGTGGACAAATCAACAAAGGTCTGAAAGCAACTTTCACGGACCAAATTAGTTAACGACGTCGCAATCAATGGCTGCATCCTCCGTTTTATCACAAGCGAGACAAGACATTTCTTTTGCTATTTTCAAAGCAAAAACATTTTCCTTGTTATCTAAACATTTAACATTTTAATCAATAGCTTAACATATACTCTACTGCGTGGAGTATGCTTGAGTTCCCAGTCGAGTTCCTGTGTCGCTCAACAAGCAATTGTCAAATTAATGATGCTTCAACGGAGTGTTGATACCAGATTTGCTTGTTCGGGGGCTTGCTGTTGGTTTTTCTATAAACCTGCCGTATCAGCAGCCAATTGTCATCGCCACACGAAAAGTTGCGCTCGTTGAAAAAACAAGAACGATATCTTTCAAAGGACATTGAGAGTGAGACGTTGAGAACAACAAAAAATTGATATTTGCTCACCTTTTCTGTGGTGCATATAGAAACAGCAAAGTCTTGACCACGCTTTCCTCATCTTGGAACATGCACAATTCGTCAAATCGGTATCTTCATCTGATGAAAAGAAGCCCCTAAGTTGAATCATCCAAGATAACGTAGATCGAAGAAGAATGATGGTTTTGCAGGTTCCGTTGCTGTGTATGTAATGTTAGCGAGCATTTGTTTTCGATTTTAATTAAAAAAAAACAAATTGCTCGAGAAAATTGTTCCGCGCGCGCAATGTCCGTTTATGAATGGAATGACGGGCGCTACATTACCTCAATATAGATGGTAACGTTGATCGATCGCATCATATAATATATGAGTATACCGCCAATCATCGCGCAAGCATTATTATAAAAATACAGGCTTGAAAAAGACAAAACCTTTTTTGACAGTCATATTTCTAGGCTAAAGGCGCGAAGGTGGACTGTAAACTGTGTCATACGTCGATATTATGGGTCCATGTACGAAGCAAGGATACCTTGTATCATAAGTAGGCAGACAAGCGTAGAAAAAGAGATACAAGAATTAGAAGAGAATGAGGGCAACAATAGCAAAAGATTTTTAATCCACTGCCCACGGTCTTAACAAACCATCTCCTATATTGAAATTACATAGGGCATTTACAGATGGATATTTATACTAAATGCATGAAGAAAACGTAACCCGTCGTGGCAAAGAGAGAAATATGATTAATTGGCCCTTCTAGTTACGGGTGTCTCGCTGCTGTTATGATTTTACACACTTTGCAAGTAGAACAAGGGTTATACTAGAAGGTGGATAACAACAATCTGATGATGATGAGCGAAACAAAGAAGGATTACGATTTACAAAGCGATGAACAAACAAACGACATGTATTGCAGTGTTTAAAATGATGTAAACGGAGGAAATCATCACAATAATGGCTATATACGCTTCAATATGATACTGAGACAATGAGCAGATAAAAACCAATCATTCTCCCAATCACATCGTGGAAAGCACAGACAGAAACCACGAGCAACAGTATATACAAAGGAGAAACATGACTTTCAAGCAACAGAAAGTATTGGCAACACTATGAAACGCAATGAGAACCTAACAGCGACCAGCAAGATAGTTACATTCCATTATACCTCACAAAGAAATAATAAGCGACAGGGGAATCCGGAAAGAACTACTTACGGCGTTTACAAATTGTTGGTATCAATGATGTGCTACAGTAAAAAGATATCAACCATCACTGAAAACGGTATTCTTGTTGCAACCTTGTCGAGACTGTGTCGTAACGGATCATTGTAACAGCTACGCATTGAAAATTATTTTTCTCTCAATTCAATTTTCCTAATGCTCAATGAACAATGTGAATACAATCGCCCAAACAGCATCAAACAGCATGTAATTGAACGACTAGTAAGATATTCTGAAGTCAAGAACACCAAGGCTTTTTCATCCATCTCAGGTTACCGTTCGGGTCCTTTTGAGACCTTATACGGTCTTGAAGAGGTCGTTTTCAGTGTCCAAAGTAATTGGTAACTTTTGGATGCAAGTCAGCTGAGGGCTGCGACGACGACAGCAAAGCGACAACGGTGTAGTTTATGTCAATCATCGACACGCTTCTTTAAAAAGTTGGTGTGATTGGTTTGGGCTTGGTAAGGCAGAAAGATATGTATCTTGGGTTTTCCAGTGTACGACCATTGACAACACACTACAACAAACAACCACAGTGCCTTAATTGCAAGCGCTCACATCAGAAACTATATGGACGTCAAAAAGAGGTTATGTCTGCGTTATCACGGATATCCACTCTTTGAGCATATTCAACTACACAACGCGCTTGAGACGTACGTACGTAGTAGTGTTTGAGAAGGTTTTCCAAGTCTCTGCAAACACAGCAAGATGACAACATATTTTCCGCAAATCGAAGCAGAGAAGATACCGTAGTCCCGGTTCAAGTTTACAGAAAAATAAAAACCTTATTTTTCCTTGGATTGTCAAACCTTAAAAAAAGGAACATTATACACATCACTGCAGCATCTTTTTTAATGAAAAACCAAATTTTTCTCAAGTAATGTCAGCTCGCTATCGTATTTATAGTCAAAGTTGAATATATAGCAGTAGTTAAAACGCAATTCAGGACCCCAAAATATTAAAAGACCCAGGAAAAAAAAAAGAAGAGGTCCCAACACCTTCTTTTGCATTACGTCAATTAACCTTTCCCCTGAATATTTTTCTTTTGCCGGAATGCTGGAACTGAAAAAACCCCCAGGCGGAAGCTGCCGAAAGTGCCGACAATTGATAGTTTGATAGTTTTGTTTCCTCCCCGCACCCCGCAAACCAACTTTTTCTAGTATGCTTGCAGCCTTCATCGTGTTCCCATTGTTGTTGCTTGTGTGATAGATTGTGTGAAGTTGATGTGTCATATTTATGGTGGAAGAGAGAAATTTTATTTTTTGACTTAGGTAATCCCAGAAAAAAAAAAGGATTAACGTACGAAGGCCAATAAAGGGAACTTTCCCAAGTAAAGCGACGCGCTTGTTCATAATGATGGGACTCTCCCAGGAAAAGAATAGCTGCTCCGTGCAGCATCGATGGGGTTGACCACATCCCCGTCGTAATACGTGCCAAGATTAATTGGGGATGATATTGCAAAAGAGATTTTATTCACTCAAGTTACTACTACTACTACTACGTGTATGCCTGTCAACAAGATAATTAGAGTTTACCGCTTTTTGCCATGGTGACGACTAAGCAACACAATCGTGGACCATTACTCGTTTTGCATTGATAGCAAAAGCTTGATAGATACGACCTTATTAGATGGTGGGGGAAAGGCAGCAGGGCTCAGTGCTTATGGAAAGAAAGAAAGAGAGAGAGAGAGAGAGAAGGCATTTCGGATAAAGTAGAAATACCTTTGCGGGAATATAGGCAATTTGTCATTCACACCCGCAGATTCAACTGGTTTGTCATATGCTTCCAAATTGAACTCGAGTAATCCAAATTGCAATTCCGCTCCGGGAATTTTGTTAAAGCATGTGTGTAATAACGGCGTGTGGGTGTATTGTTTGAACTCTTCTTTCTTCTTCCTTTCTTTTTTGTTGCTCATATACACACGCCGCCAAAAAAAACTAGAAAAAAAAATGTCTGTCGACGCTGTAAACCGATATCTTCAAACCACCGTGGGTCGTGAAAAGCTCTTACGTTTCGTCCAATACTTTTCCCGCTTCTACGCCTTTTACTTGTTGCGCACCGGTGCTCCCAAAGAAGCCATCCAACGCTGGGGCGATTTGAAAGGACACATTGGCAACGGCCGCAAGTTCTTCCGTCTGTTGAAACAGTTGGAGTTTGCTCAGGCCGGTTACAAGGCCTTGTCTGTTCAGGATGAGGTTTTGAAGGTCACTGCTGTCTTGAAGCAAGCTGGTATGTTCTTCTATTACTGCACTGAGGCTGTCGTTTTGGTAAGTTCTCTCTCTCTCTCTCTCTTTCTTTCTTTCTGATCTGCACGTGCATGTGCATATACATACCGTTTTGACGCGATATTAAAAGGCGGAAAAATATATAATGATGACGCTAACGCATGAGACAATCACACACACACACACATGTGTGTATGTATACCGCGCGAAAATAGGCCAACGCCGTCAACTTTTACAAAGTCGCAAAGATCAAGGATATCCAACAAATTGGTTTCAAGTGTTGGTTGACTGCCCTGACAATGTCTGTCATTTCCACCTTGTACAAGTTCCGCAACCTGAGCATTCGTGCAGAACAATTGGAAAAGACCTTCAAGTCTGAAAAGAGCAGTGAACAGGTTCAAGCTGAGGCTAAGGGTTTGATCACGTAAGTTCCCAGCTATACACCACACACAAAATATACATGCCGACACGATTTCCTTCCTAAAAAAAAAAGGGACTAACCCATGCAATCGAATGGACATTAGGGAAAAGAAGGGTTTGCAAAAGCAATTGCTTCAAGATTTGGTCGACATGATTATACCCACTGCTGGTTTGAACTTGGTGTCGTTCGATGAAGGCATTGTTGGTTTGGCTGGGTAAGTTCTCTCTCTCCTCTTCTTTTTTCGAAATTCTTATACGTTGGCGGTGTGACTGATGATTTTCTTTTTAGTATGACCACATCTTGGTTGGCAATGACCAGCCAATGGAAGAAGGTGGCCGCTTAAAGGATGTATGCGATCCTATCCCATTATTTCTTATAATATAGTATAGGCCCAACCCCCCTGTCTCCTTCTTTTCTGTCACTTTATCATCCCACATCCACGCACACGCAGCACTAGTCAACATCTCTATACATCTCCATTAGTATAATTCGACAAATATAACAAACAACATGTCCTTGTATTCTTAGTATGATATATGCTAGAAAACTTTTTTTTAGTGCGTGTCCAAAATTCTCCCAGCTCAAGCTTTGATTGATTATTCTTGAAAAAGATGATCTCTTAAAAAAATTCAGGTTCAAATATGATATTGATGGAGGAATGCAGGGAACCGATCTATCAACCGAGTCAGTTACGTTGAAATTACGTCTAACAAACGCGATTGCATACAACATTCAAGGTGGTGAAGATGACAGTCGCGGATCTTTCAAAATAAAATATATCACGGGCATTATTAGATTTTTTGATGATCGGCCATGATAAAATTACTTTTGTGTGATATCCTTAGGATAGCAATTTTCCCAATATTTGTTTGTTGGGAGGAATTTTTTATGCAGATGAAAGCTCTTCTTTTCAATGGTTGAAACATCTATAAATCACATGATGCAATTCATTGCTGCAGCGATATTATAGCGTTAAAAGTGTTACATACTGGATGTCGTGCTCTATTTTCCATTGAAAGGGTTCTATCTGGTTTACTATAATACAGAAAAAACCGAGTATGTTCACCTCTTGCACTGAAACACGTGGGTCTGTTAGTAACTAGGACGACGAACCGCCACACCGTTTGTGAGCGAGAAATATTAGTAGAAAAAGACCTATACTGCAGGTAATATTCGAGATCTATTATTACAAAAATTCTGGAGTAACAAGAAGCGTCAAGATCTTTTATATTCGTTTCGTTCACTTTGATTTTCTGCCAAGGCAACATGCTTATTGATTGTAGAATCTCTAGAATGACGGATTGACAACTACTTGTTTCTTTCCGTTTTGCTGGCCCGTTCATTTTCCCACAAGCGTCGTATTGGTTTCGGCATACTTTTTTATGCACCCTGTGTTTTGCATACAGACCAAGTTATTTACCGCCAACACCCCGCTCAAGCTCTTGCATTAAAATATTGCCAGTGACACATTTAAAATTCTTTCGCACGCATGTAGGATAAATTACATTTGCATATTCTTGGTTATGCAGCATATTATCCCTTTTTGGTAGATAAATAGCTATCTGACGCATAACCTATTAGGAACGGTCGGGTCGGTTGGAATATGGATACTCGCTTTTTACAAAATTCTTATATATTATGGCTTGCAGTGGTCTGGTAGTATGGATATAGAGCAACAACCCCTTATTTTTTATTATTTTTTATCAGGTAAAAACTCATAGGATATGTTGCCATGGCAATTTGTCCACAAATATCTCCAATGGCAACGAAAGTGACATGTTCATTGGTAACAAGGGGGCAACCACCAAGATGATTGTAGATTTTGTCTAGAATAAAAAAGCCGTTTAGGCAGCATTGTAAAAACAAAAGCATAAATAAAAAACGTGCATTGTCACGAGACTCTCCACAAACATGCATACACACACACACACACATAAAAGAAAAAAGGGCGCCAACACGGAAAAAGGGAGATGGGCCTCCTTCTCGATCAGCGTTACTTGTAAGCGTGTCTCTTAAACGTCGGATTGCGTGAATTAGGGGGGGAATCCCTTCTTGGTCTCTCTAATCATCAAAAGTCTTTTGTTATGTGCAACATGGTTTATGATGAGCACAAAGATCCATGTTGCTCTTTTTCTATGGTGGGGGGGGGGAAAAAGGAACATGCAGCTCAAAATCGACGACGGATTGGATTACAGATGAGGGTACAAGATAAGGATCGGAGCGTAGAATAATATTCAAAAAAGATGAGCGAAAACTGACGTGTCACACAGCATGAAAAAAAAAAAAGAAAGAAAAACCAAGTTCATGGGCGCGATTTCCATATGAAGCACACAAATAAAAAAAGGATCGGTTAACCAAAACGAACAGGTGACTTTCGTCTTCACCTTCCACAACAATTTTACCAAGTGGACGGATCTTTTTTTTTTTTTTTTGGATTCAGAAGACGATCTGTGAATAAAAAAAAGGGTTCTTCAAGGTTTCCAATGGGCTCGTGCGGCATTAAAAAGCTGCTGTTGCCATTACACACACACACACACACATATATATATATAAATCAGATGATGAATGTATACAGACAGAGAGGTCCAGAACCTTGCAAGTTTCGGTAGACTGACTTGATTAGGTATTTTTGCTGGCTCAATTTGGTTACTTTACGTAGTAGTAGTAGTAGTAGTAGTAGTAGTAGTAGCAATTTTTTTTATTGTACCGCGTTGGAAAAGAAGATACACTGCAAATGATGAACACACACACACACACAATTGAATTGAAAATGAAGGAGGGGGGAGGCGGAAGATATATAAAACAGCCAGAGAGAGAGAGACAGAGAGACACACACACATCGTTAGAGAATATGTACATATTTGATAGAAAGAGGAGTATGAGAGAGAGAGAGAGAATTTAACCACAAATGGGTTCAGAAGGAGGGCATGGCGAAGATAATGAGGGTGGAGAGGTATGGTTTGTAGAGGTGGCATAAGTAGTGCCATAGAAACAATACTTGTTTACAAAGTCATGGTAGCGGGATTGGAACCCATCCTCTTGTTGTTGCTGCTGCTGCTGATGTACTACTTGTTGATCTTGTTTGCTGCTGGTTGTCACCAACGTGTTTGAAAAACGCATCATTGTAGAAGAAGTAGAAGTAGAAATAGTCGGTGTCGGTCCCTTTCCGAATTGATACGGAACCTTTTTGGCCTCAGATAGTGAAGCACCAAAGTCATACCGATGACCCAGTTTCTTCTTGCTAGTTTGTTTTGTTGTTACTGTTGGTGACGCTGGTTTTGCTGGTGCTGCAATAGGTGTTACAGCGGATGATGGCTTTTGTTGCTTATCTTGTTGGTCTACTGACACAGTAAAAGTGTTGCTGTTGGTGGTGACCAAAGATGACGTACCGTCGCTACGTTGACGATGTAATGCTTTGCCTTCATCTTTTTCAATTGTTGCCAGTACCGCTGCCTTATTATCTATCGACATCAACTCTTCTTCTTCTTCCTCGATCGGTGATGATGGTGGCGTCGGCGTCGGTGGTAGGGTAGGGATGATATCAATCTGATAGTTCAACCCATCATTATTATCCCAATGATCACACTCGTTCACCGTGTAGCGTAAAGCTAGATACAGGGTTGTGATCTTGCCAATCGCAATCATAGATGACTCGCTTTTTTTGTTGTTGGTCTGGTCCAGACGAATGGTAAAAGTGAAGCGATCCCAAGTGTTTGCGCTGCTACCGATCGGCTCGCGATAGATTGCCTCGGTCTCGTGGAACGATTGCCAGTAATCGGTGGTGTAGCGCACGACCACATGTTTGTGAAAGGCCAAGTTGGCGACCCGGCATCGGCCTATCAGGGTGTTTTGCTGGTCCGGCGCTTGCGAGACACCTTCCATACGGATCACCATGGGCGGATGGCGCATCATGGAGGACGTTGCTGTAGTAGTAGTAGTAGTAGTAGTGGTGGTGGTGGTGGTGGTTGCTGTCGTCTTGGCCGGCCAGTTGGGGTATTTGAGCTCAAGTGATAAGGAGGGATCGCCGTCTCGGATGGCACATGGCTTTTGTGTCTTGAGAAAGAGTCGGATGTGCTCCAGCTTATCATTGTCGTGGAATCGGACGCTCTTTTTCTTTGTTTTCTTGTCATTGTTGTGCTCCGTTTCTTCTCGATAGGTGCTGGTAGTCGTGGCACTACTGCTGCTGCTGCTGCTGCTGCTAGTAATAGTATTGATTTTTGTTGTTGCTGTTGTGGAATGGTTGTGGTGGCCACTGGACTGTTGCTTCGGGGCATGCAAAAGGGTGACTCGACGACGACGCTCGGTGGAGAATGAAGGATGATGATGAAGATGACTGTAATGCTGTTGTTGTGATGGTATTGCTGGTGAAGAAGAAGATTGATGATTATGATGATGATGATGCAGTTGTTTTTGGGATTGATGATATGAATAAAAGCATGGTGGTGAAAACGATGGAGCCAGTGACATTATGGACGAACAAAGTGGTTCCTTTTTTAACTTTTGAAAAGAGTTAAAGGAGTAAGAAGAAGAAGAAGAAGCAACAGCAGCCTCAAGAAATGGGGAAGGAAGAAGAAGAGAAAGGGAGGCGATGCGAAAGCTTCACCCCACCCTCCCCTATTGATAGGGCCCTTTATATATAAATTGTCAATGCGACGGGAGGGTCGGACAAGACGGATGAGACGGGATGCACTATCTGATAGCCAGCCACCCATTTTTCTTTTCTTTTTTTTTTTTTGCACGAATAAATTTTTTTTTCTGCTTGACCTTCCCACGAGGCAAAATAAAATACTTTATATCTATATATATATATAAAATTCTTGTTGTGTTGCCGTCACTCATTCGCATACTCACTTTCTCTCAGAGCTTCTTCTACGTGAAGAACACTGTGCAAAAGGAGTCAATGCTCGCAAGGGGAGAAAGAGAGAGAGAGAGAGAGAGGGCATATATTAACTTCAACTTCTTTGATTACTATTACTACTACTACTACTAAGACTAAGACTCTACTGATAACGCAACAGGGTTCATGCAATCTGTCGACTCCTTTATCGCCGGCTCTTTTATTCTCTCACCCCCAACAAAAACTTGTTTTTGGTACAGTCGTACATAATCCTAGTATGCGGATTTGTTTCTATTAGTAGTCCATGCTGCTGCGGGTGGTCTTTAATGGTAGACGTACACACTTGCAACGACAGACTATGTGGGGTGAGGTGATAGATAATAGTGAGATAATATCTCTTAGCCCACCATGATTGGTTCTACGCTCTTTCTCTCTTTGCTCAAAAAAGGCGTAGTAGACCTGCTCCACACACGTTTTGCCAAATCAGGACACCATTCATCCTCCATTGGACGCGCTTGGGTCTTACCAAGGAAGCCTATACGGGCGGATCTCTACTTGTTTTGTGTCTCCTTGCTGCTAAACCTAGTTGCATGTCCTGTATTTTGCCCCAACTTTTGATGCTTTGTTACTGCTATCCATTCTCTCACACTAGACACTACCTACTACTACTACTACTACTATCTCTTATTTATGCAGAATAAGGCACGACGATAATACATAAAGCGGCGCGTCTTTTTTTTTTTTTTCTCACAGGCTTACGATGGCTTTTTCTTTATCAATCCATTCACACAGTCAATTGACCACTACTAGCGCGTCTACATGAAAAAGAAGAAGATTAAGCCGCATAGTAGTAGTAGCTTTTTTCGGCTAATTCCAAATCGAATGGCCCCTCCCGCTCAACCGCCATTCCCCTCGTGATTTTCGACAATGCAACGTATTTCTGTTGTCTTGAAAGCCTAGTAGTAGTCGTAGTACATTACAAACAAAAAAAAATGTTTTGTCGTCTACCAAGTATCCACGTACAACAAACAAATGATCGTTTTGTGTATTACCGTGTTTATCAATATAAAAAAAACAAACATTACCCAACTCCATATTGGATGGAAATGCGGAACCAACCAAAAGAACGCTCAGCAACGAAAGCAAGCTAAACAGTTTCGTTACCTGTCTCGAATCAACAGACAGAGTTATTCGTCTTTCTACAATGCGAGCAACGATGGCTGCCAGTGTCTGTGTTTGTGTAACTTTGTGTAAGAGATGAGACAGGTTCTGTATATATTTAAATGACCCATCAGTTCAATTGCGATTTCTTTCCCATCAGCAAAGCAAGCAAGCACCCCCAGGTTCTATCTCGGATGAAGGGAGAAAAAAGACCGTTGCCGATGATCAACAACCAAGAAAAACCAGCTCTCCGTTTCCCACAAAGCTTGGTGTTGAAGAGGGGCCAAGTAGAGTCATGCAACCAGCTGACACATAATATAATACACATACATACCCCTCTTTAAGGTTATGTTTTTTTGCAGTTCAGTTTATATACCGATCGAAGAATGCACAACACGTTTTTTTCGTTTTAGAATCAGACAACATGAAAGAACGACGACGTTTGTTGTTCTATTGTCCAAGATTGTCAAAGATAAAAGATACTACATCGGCGGCGAGCGGAGGAAGAAACGATTGATTCCTTTAGGTAGGACAACTACCAGCAAGTTCTTAAAGGGTGTGAATGATAAAAATAGATAATTGGACCAAGCGTTCGTGCCACGTTTTGCAAGGAAACAATCGTGGGAGATCCCCAATAAACAAGGAGGAGGTCGGAGGGTGGGGAACCCATAAGAACATATTATTTAGGGTAGGTATGAGGAAAGAAATAAGAGGATCTATCGAGCAGAGTAGAAACAGGTATAGTAGAGGCATATATATCATAGAATGAATTATTAAAAGGGCAAAAGGATTAGTAGTACTAGTAGGTTATTACAGTTTGGTATGTATGTAACCCAGATAAGGGATATTCATTTTCCATCATGACACTGCTGCTGGACGTCTTCCGACCTTTTGTTTATTCAACGACGACGACGACGACGACGACCCTGCCACGTGCTGCTGCTGCTGCTGCTGGTTTAATAACAATTGCTGTTGGTGTCGTTTCCCGCCAACTTTTTCTTTAATTACACATCATGTATGAGTCACTTCCATATTGGTAAAAGAGCCCTTTTCCTTCATTCCGCATACTGCTTCTCCCTTACCCCCCCCCCAAAAAAAAACAACACTTTTTCTATTAGAGTGTTTATTTACCTTGTTCATGTCTTGGTTTCTTTTTCTGATCATACGGATGAGGATGAGGATGATGATGATGATGATGATAGGCTTTGCGTCGTTTGTGGACATGTCGATGACTTTTGCTCTCATCTAGATAATCGCTATCATCATCATCATCCTCTTGTTGGTGGTCGTCAACATCACCCTCATCATCGAGATGCTGCTGCTGCTGTTGTTGTTGTTGTTGTGGCGGCGGCGGCGGCTGTATCCTAACTAGGATCAAGGGCAAAATACGCCGACGTGCATTGATAAACCAGTTGCTGATCTGATTGAGTGTCAGCCCTGTCTTGTTACGCAGGGCAATCTTTTCCTCTTCTGTCGGATACGGATGTTGACAATGATCGATCAGCCACTGTTTTAGAATGGCTGTCACTGTCTTTGGTAGATTACCACGGCGTTTTCTTGGTGGTTGTCCCTGCTTTTGTTGTTGTTGTTGTTGTTGTTGCTGATCGGGTTGACACGTAGTAGACGTCAAAGTAGACTGAGGGTGATAGTAACGATGGCGATCCAGACCATTCTGTTTTGATAACGACGGTCGACGTTGCAATGACGATGTCGTTGTAGCAGACGTTGGTGTAGCCGGTGGTGGGGGTGGTGGTGGTGATACAGACGAGGCTTGACCGCTGCTGGCACTATTGACAGAGGATGAGGAGGATGATGATGATGACGTGGTAGAAGAAGAGCTACTAGAACAACAGGACAAAGTGGATGACGTCGAAGTGGAGAGTTTGGGTGAAGCTACTATTGTATCGACTTTTTGTTGTTGTTGCGTGGATCGAGTCGATTGGGTAATGTACTGCCACCATCGACTGTTGGACTGAAGCATTTGCTTGGTTTTCTTCTTCTTGATTTGAATCAGCGGACGATAGTATGGGTCGCCATAAGATATACTGTCACTCTTTTTGTCGGTGTCGTGGAACAAGATGACAGGATGGAAATGCTGTTGCTTTTGAATTTTAATAAAAGGATGGCCCTGTAGTGTGAGTTTTGTATTTTCGTTTGTTTTTATACAGACAGCAACACAAGCACTTGCCCAGCTTACAATAGGCTTAGAGTCATCTTCGGCGAGCATGATTTGGTTGACGGAGAATTTCTCTTTTTTTAAAAAATAGTAGAAAGGGTTTTGAAAAAAAGAGAGGTGTGTGTGTGTGTGTGGAGAAGAAATGAAAAGAAAAGCGAAAATTTGGGAGGGTGGGTGGGGTGTAAGAGAAGTCTATGTGATCCTGTGTTTACGTTGTTCACGAGTAGGCAAAACAAGCAAGGACAGGCGGTGGGTGGGGGGGACGGTGCTTTTTATGGGAATTGCTTAGCTGCATACGCATCGTCGTCGTCGTCGTCGTCGTCGTCGTTATCCAGTGTGTGTGTGTGTGTGGGTAGGAAAGAATGGACCCACTCATTGTGCTATTATGATATTTTGGCTGCGTTCACAATTCATTTCCATCTGGTTTCGGAATTTCCTGTCAGGCCGTTCCTCTTGCAAAACATACACACAGCACAGAGCACCTTTGTTTTCCCTTGTCATTGTAGGGTGTATTACTGTAGGGTCAGTGACAGTAGTGCATGCAATTTATGTAAGAGAGAGAGAGAGAGAGAATTTGGGGACAATGTCTGATTTTCTATATCATAAAAGAGCCCGAAGAAGGAAAAAAACAAAGATGCACTCTCGGTTGTGTCATTCTTTATGATTACGCCCTCATTCGCCCACAACAGGTACCTTATCACTCAGTACATAAATCGCTTTTTTATTATTATTTGACAGCTCACTCTTTTGCCCCCCCCCCTCCTTTACAGACGGTTTTTTTCTTTCTTTCAACAAAACCCTGCTTCTTTATTATTGATACTCTCCGGGGGGGTGGGGGGATTTTTTATTTCTCTCGATCAAACGTGTTGGTGCTCTGAATACTATAGAAAATTAATTTACGCGTCTCTTTTACCGCTTCTGCAAACAGCTGACGAGATCACACTCACATATTAACATAACAGCAATTTATGCTTTCTCTCACGTACTCACAACGACACTACTGTAATACTACGAGCTGATTTCAATAGTTTCCACAAGAAACCCCACATCATGTTACTATAAACTACATACAACCGAGTACTATCACTACAATTTATGTACTACAAGATTACCCACACCCAACAAACATCAATCTCGTGTTATATCTACAAAGACTCTCCTTTAACGCTTTCGTCCCGTCGACACTCCCCTCGCGCCCTGTCGTGTGTGTACATACTATTTTCCTAATCTCGACGACATTCAAAGAAAGAAATAGTATGCATTCATCATCCTAATGACGTTTTGCTATACTCTGGCTCAATAAAAAATAGTGGTTTCTATACAACTCCCCTATAGAGTCGAAAAGTGACATGTCCAAATAGAGAAACAACAAAATCGAGCAATCTAAATGACAGGCTAGCGAAAAAAAAAAAAGGGGGGGGGGGATTTTATTTGTTCTCGAAAACAACAACAAACTGATTTGATGTCCAGCCACCTTCCTACACGCACACACGAGTAAACTAAAGATTTACAACCCCTTAACAGAGCTCTGCTTTTTTTTTATAATATCCTGTCAAATCATATTCCCAAAATATCACGCCATCCATAAATTCATTCACACACACACACACACAACGGTAGTAACTTGTATTACGGATAAGCAGTCTATGTGATAACTTTGTTGAGTCCCCAACAACAACAAAAATTCATTCTCATACACATACAACAGGTAACCTTGAGACCACAAGCACTTCGTCACTACTTTCGCCGGCGGTGGAAACACACAAAGACTGACTCACTGATTTCTGTCATATGGAGGTGATAGCGTCTTCCATGATTCCAGCGAGCCCAATTATTAGAATGTTTTCAGTACACAATAAAAATGACTTGGCTTAACCTGGTCCATCATTGAATCCAACAAGTGCTGTCTAATAAATCTTCCCCACCCCCACCCCAACGTTCCCTCTAACATCTCCCCGTAAGAACAATTATTTCTCTTCCCCCTCTCGTATCCCCAAGTCAACCCTGTAAAAGATTACAGATTGCCGTTCGTTGCCTTTGGGATACCTAAAAGACCCTGTAAGGTCTCAAAAGGTCCATACGAGTAATTTGAAATCTTGGCTCGACTAGATAACACATATTACTGAATCATCTCTCTCTCTCTTCCTCTAGGGCTCCATTACTCGCATTCGTTCAAGAATTAACGGAATTTTTCAAAACATTGAATGCATATAACAAGGTTAACATGTTTTTACATGATACTTGATAGACAATGAAAAGATAAAGCTGCATACTAGCAACTCCGCTTCGTTGTATGATAGGTAGCTTGTCAAAAGCAGCAACCTTACTACTACTACTACTAGCTACGTTTAGTAGCTCGTAGACCCAACGAACATCAGCTAGTAGGTTTATGTTTTTTTGAGTTACCAGTTGCTATGGAAGTCATGTCAAGGTTACAAATGACTTGTTGCTATGGTTAACAACAAATTTCCCAAATAACTTCAATACATACCAGTAATTAGCACGTTTATTGTGTCTACTCCATCTGACATTCATCAGTGATTTACATCTTTATCAAGTTGCTGGTGGTGATTATATGAGCTTCTGTAGCGAAAACATCAATCTTGCTTCCTGATGCATGGTTTTTTCTCTTCTTCTTTGCACAATGTTGACCGTAATGATTATTCACTTTTACGCTTGGTGTTGATTTTGCGACCCCATCGCACTGTCGTTCTTTATCTCTGTGATCTGCGGTATAAAAGAAAAGCACACATGCATTATGTATATTTCATGGAATGTTCCTCATGATCACAACTTTATCAATCTAAATAGCCAATGATAATCAATGATGGTCCGGTAATATAAATACGGGTTGAATACAAGGGATGTCTGTGCACCTCACTTTCTTTGTTCTCACCCAAAAAAAGAACCTTAAGCTTGTATATTTACAAAATGATCTCTCACGTTTTTCAAAATCCCTCGTCGGGTTATATAAAAAGTTTTCGAAATTTAAGCGAATGGAACCCGTTTCCAAAGCCATTCTAATACACACTGTGTCAGGATTATGAGAAATACCTGTTTGGGGCCTGACAATTGATGTTTGCGCCAATGACATCATTGATGTTTGCTGCGGGAACAGATTACGCAGACAGGTATCTCCGTGCGAAAAGTCCGAGTAAAAATAGTATTTCCTTTATATGGCAGGTAACGACTACATCAGTGCATGATGGCGCAAAGCGATTGGATTATAGCCAAAGTTCCTGCGCCGTGCGTGTCCTGCGTAGTCTATACCCCCCTAAGTTTACTTCTTGGCTCTTTACTATTAGAGACAACCTTCCCTCTATCTCTCCTCTATACTTTCTTCCCACTCCTTTATTTCCTTGTCTTTCTTTCTCTCAAACATTATACACAAAAGACACTATTAACTATGCTACGTCGACATTCGCCAGCCGCTATTCGCTTTTTTCAAAAGTCATTTCAGGTCCAACAATCACGACAACCGACCAAGCTTGTCCCTTCGACCATTTCATTCACGTCGCCCTCCACCTGCGTCACTTCTGCTTCGTCGTCCGTAGTCTCTGATCTCAAGCTGACGCGGTACCATCTCGGTCGTCTCTGGCAAATGCTGTACACGTCATTCCAAAACAGCAACATTCACAGTGTCCAACCCTACAATGAACGCATTTGCCTTCTATGGCCAGACAGTATGCGCGTCCACATTTCCTCGGATGACCTCTCTGAATTCTATGAAAGCATCACCAGCCCTTCGTGCGCGACCGTGTGTGCCAATGTCTCTGCGAATCTATCCCAAGTCAGTCTCGGACAAGGTGCGCAACGTGTATTAACGACACCGACGGGTGGCAAGACCTCACAGACGAGCACATTGAGTGAAGCATTGTCTGTGGAACTATTGACGCGATTGCTTGGTTCGAATCTGACCAAGACCGAAACGGAACTCGAGTATACCAGATATGGGCCCATGACCGATTATGCTTGCAGGGTTCAGGACAGTCATTTGGGTGTCTCCGTCACGCGCGCCATGTCGTATTGGAGGAAGAAAGAATATACCAGACAGGATGCTGTCAAGTTGCTGACGCGCAAGTTGCGAGGTATTCTAGAGTCAAGCGAAAACATTGCCAACGCTAGCTTTGATAAGCAGATCTTGCACGTGCTCGCCATGTCGGGTCATCATGCCGCGCAGGTCAAACGCGCGTGCAAACGGTTGTCACAGGACCTCAAGTCGGATACTATCATTTTCATCACCACGGTCAAGGCTGATAGCGTGTTTTTCAACAGTAATCGGCATCTGGAGAAAATGAAGCGCAGCGCAGTGTAAAAAAAAAAAGAGGTTTCTCTACTACAGCTGGTACTACATTGCTAAAATTGTCCAAGACGACACTACGGCAGCTTGCGGTGACGACGACGACGACGACGACGACGACGACGACACAAAAATCTCTCAAGGACAAAGAAAGAAAGGGGTGCAAGAAAGAACCTTTGAACACGCACTCGCTGTTTGCGGGGCTGGCGGAAGCAATTAAGTCTCTTTTGCCACACCAAAGAACACATTACACCGCATGACAGGCTTCCGAATGCAGTAACCAAGCAACCCAGCAGGTTTATTATACATTCTAAATAATTGGATACACAACAGCATTTCGTTTATTATATTTTCTACTCCCATTTCCCTCTTCCTATTTGTACGCACACTGTACACTGTCATTTAGAATAATTAAATACATACGCTCTCACCATGATGTAGTATCATTCATTCTATGATAACATAGGCTATCCATGCATCCCACCTTTGCACTCACTCTAGACAAGTCATCATTGTGTTACAAAAAAGTTAAAAAGGCCTGTGTAAAGTCAAAGCTGCAGTTGAAATAAATCCGTGATCAACCTCGTTGTTGCTGCTATCAAAAAGAAGTGCCTGTATCTTTATTGCGCGTTTTTTTTTTTCTTCTTTTCTTTTCCTTCCTCTCTTTTTCTTTTTCTCTAATTGTTGTATGTACATGCGTGCGTAATAGTAGATCAACCGTATAAAGTACACACAAACAACACCCCCTGTCTTTTTTTTCTGCTCTAAAGCCTCCGTATTCGTTTCAGAATCAACTCTCTCTCTCTCTCTCTTTTCTATATCAGCCCTCCTCCACAGTGCCTCCTTTCTCCTGCTAGTTAGTAAAAGTAGTACTATTATTATTATTAACTAGTATAGTAGTATTTACTATTATAACCACCACTACTGCTACTGTTACTACACAGTTTTGCCCGCCCTTTTTGTCGCAACTATATTGCGCCTCTCTCACACCCTTCCCCCCCCCCTTGGGAAAGCAGCCCCAAAAAAGTCACTCGCACCCCCTCGCTCCTTATATATAATTTAGTAATAACAACAGCAGCAGCAGCATGATACACCCTCTTGCGCAGGAACAACAACAAGAATCGTCTTACTCCACTTGCTCTCATCATCAGCATCTTCAGCCCCACGACAACGAAAACAACGACGACGTCAGTAACTACCACGCAGGGACAACCACATTACCTCCTGGGTCATCAAACACCGCAGTTACCGCCGTCGCCGACACCATGTCCGAAAAGATCAATGAACTCCAGCAGCAACAGGAACAAGAAGAACAGCAGCATCACCCACCACGACCTACAAGCGATGCTTTTTATGACCACCACCCTAATCAGCTACAACAACAACAACAACACGCATTTTATGCACCTCAATCACCAGAATTACCTTTCCCTCGCATCCACCAACAACAACCACAACCACAACCACAACAGCGCGCTTACTCTGTCACGGCCATGCCAAGTGAATTGCAACGAGCCGTGTTACGCCATCAACAACAACTAGCAGAACAGAGACAACAGCAGCTCATGTCAGCGCCTGATCAACCCTGGTGGCAATACTATTATCAGCTCTATCACTACCATCCTCCTCCAGGGCGCAAGCCCACAGTCTTTGGTCCTTATCTGTTACTTCAAACCTTGGGCGAGGGTGAGTTTGGTAAAGTCAAACTCGGTATTCATATCGAAACTGGCCAGGAGGTAAACGGATTTTTATTTTTTTGCAAACGTTGTTTTCTTGTATGTGTATATATATTAATTGATGGCGAATACGATGGGGGCGGTTATTACAACAACGATACATAGGTGGCAATCAAGTTGATTAAGAAGGACAATATCGACTCTTCAACACGGATGAGTAAAGTAGAAAGAGAAATCTCTGTATTAAGAGTAAGTCATTTTCTTTTCCCCCTCTTTACAAACAGCAAGCACATGCTTACGCATATACCTTGTTATTTGCAGAAAGTGCGACATCCATACATTGTAAAGTTATACGACGTGATAGAGACCGAGCGTTACATTGGCATCATCCTGCAGTGTGCATCAGGTAAAAATGAAATAAACGGATGCATGGGGATCAAACCGCTATCTAACATACATTTACGACAACAATAACAGGAGGAGAACTCTTTGAATACATCCTTGCGCATCGATACCTCAAGGAAAAGGATGCTAGCCGGTTGTTTGCCCAGCTGATCAGTGGTGTGCATTACATGCACCAAAAGCATATTGTCCATCGAGACCTTAAACTGGTGAGAAAAACAATTGAGTGATGATTACTGGTGGCGATCGTGAAGAAAAATAAACCCAGGGGCTGGTTGTTTGTAGGGGAGATACTGTGTGGCAACCACTGGCCACATCCACCAAGAAAGAAAGGGTTCTGTGTAATATGTGGGTTACTATGTGGGATGTAGAACAAGCTCCGCTAAATAACACATTTATAAGTATAAAATCTTGAGGTCCACCAAAGTCCACCTGGGTCCACCATTTTTTGAAATCCCGATAGCAGGACCACAGTGATATCCAGCGATATCATTGGTTATACCGAATGATATCTGCGAATATCAATTGTTGGGGACCGTTTTTATAAGTAGAGCCGTGGACCTGCTTGTTATTAATAAAAGAAGAGCTTGGTATCTTTAGAATTATTACAGAAAACCTTCAAAATGCTTTAAATGAACCGGGCATTGATTCCATGTATTTAAGGAAAGGTTAATGTCATCCGAGATTGCAGAATAAGTTTTTTAAATCGTGCTGTTCTTAATGAATGAGCTGCTCTAGGTCGTGTAATTTGTATCATGCTAGCTACATACAGCAACTGTACCACTCAAAGAGCCTACATTTTAGTGATCTCTCCAATACTTTCAATGTTAGATGACAGTGATATGGATGCCATGGTGTTAGCAAAACTATTACACTCTAACATACACGTAGATCCAACATCAGTGTCTACACTTCAGACTAACCCTATCTTTCTTCTGTCTCGTCAGGTACCTTGTTGATAGCTTTCAAAAAGCATTGGTATAGATGGCACATTGATTCAGTGGATTGAACGGTATACGCTATTCTATCTATGCTTGAGATATTAACAATGTTTTCTCTCCTTTCCTGTACTTTGAACATGTAACAGACACTAGGTAGAGATAGTTAGTGTTGTGTAGGAACATGTCATATCTTGTTCCTTTCTTTGCCTGACTGATGAATAACAGCAACTTATTGCTGCCATTGCAACGATTATAAAACCACTTTGTAATCGCTATCGACCGATGAACTAACTATAAGCAGTTCTAATGACTATCCTTCCTTGATAACTGCTCAAGATTTATGTATTCACAATGCATTTTGACAGCGGAAGGTGCGAAAAACCAGCGCAACATCTGCAGCAGTACGAACATTTTTGGAGAGAAAAACTAATCTACATCGCCTTCATTTAAACAACATATTTCTGTTCCCAGTAATACATTATCGCCATGCTGCTAACCATGTATCGTTCGTAATATACACAGTCGTCTCGAGTGTCCATTATTAAATTACTAATATTAGAGCCATATCCAGTACTGCGTGTATATATATAATCTAATTCCTACATCTTAAGCTCTGCATCAAGTGCAACTAATTTATCAAATGCATTTCATCATGCTTCAGAAAACGTACTATTATAAGCATTCCCTATTCGAAACCATTGACAATCATTTTTAGGACAGGCCTCGTGAGCCCACAAAACAAAAGTTATATATTCTTTGAAAAAAAAAAGGGCCAAACAAGGCCACGAAACAAGCAAAAGTTAAAAAGAAAAAAAAAGCGAGGCAAAAACCATCATGGCCAACAGACCACAACATGAAAGTAATACAATAAAAAAAATATGGCCAAGCAAGGCCAATGTTAGAAAGTTGAAATAAAAGCGTGTCAAAGGGAAAGCTAGCGAGTGAAAAAAAGAACAAGATGGTGAAATGAATATACAAAAAGTTTAAAGTGTATCAAAAAAACATAAGTCTTTCGATAGTGAATCTAATGAGGTAATGCCGACAGCGAGATAGTGTCTATGTATAGTGTCCAACGCTTCTGGTACTCTTTCTTGCATTCCTTTTCTTTCGATATAATCTTGAACTTTCCGAATAATCGCTCGTCTTCTACGAAACCATTTGCCGTCTGAATCACTTTTTCGCCATGCAGTTTTGTACACTTCTTCCATTCTAATCACAGACATGCCGCCATTCCAACCGTCAAACCATTCAGTCCATAATTGTGGGATTGTTTGGACGTTTGTGCGGTTCATGGATGGATATATGGGCTGTTGTTGTTGGGGGTGATGATGATGGTGATGAGTTGGTGCTGATGCTGCTGACGATGATGATGACGATGTTGGTGCTGGTGCTGCTGACGACGACGACGAAGATGATGATGGCGCTGGTGCTGCTGATGGCAGTACCACAGTTGCTGTCATGGTGGATGGGAGGGAGGAGGACGAGGACGGGAGCGAAACCGAGCCCCAACCTTCCTGCTGCTGTTGTTGTTGCTGATCTTGTTGTTGTTGCTGCTGCTGACCTGCCAAGTTGAGCGTGACGCTCAAGGACGCTTGTCCGCTGGCGATGCGGTCCCAATGCTGTACAATATCTCCTATACGACTCATGTTTGGTGCAAGCTGCGCAAGTGCTTCCAGAGTGGGTATGGCGTTAGAGAAAGATTGTACAATGCGATTGGTGTCTTGTTGCTGAGCAGCGATTTGTTGTTGTATTTGTTGTTGCAAGATGGCAAGTCTATTTTCAATGATCGGCACGGCACGTTGAAGTAACAGATCAGTGGGCTCTTCGTTGTTTTCAAGTGCATGATTCAAGTTACTATTTTAAAAGGATAATTAGTATATAAACGAAAGACTGTAGTCCACCAGCACATACTGTTCAAATTCAAGATACAAAGGATCACGGAACAAAGGATCTTGCCACAAATGATGACCTGGACAGCGCTTTTTCATCAAAACCGAATCTTGCAAAAATACAACACGCAACTGCACAAGAAGACGCAAAAACGAATCAGCCGCGCACGAGTCCTCCACTTGTTTGGCATCCAGCAGCGCCCGCCACCGATCGACTTCAGGAAAAACCTTCTTGCAAAGCTCAAGGGGTGGTGTAACAGCAGCACGAGGTAAGTAGAATTGGCCAGCCTCTCTAGTGAATCCTGCCATGGTCCGCAAGATATCACGAGGCAAATTGGTTAGATAACTGGTCGATAAAGCAGAATTATTCCAACGACCTAATCGCCGGATAGACTCTTCGCTCGTTCCAGATATCTCTGCCATGCGTGCTGACGAACCCCTCATAGCGTGAGTGACCGCTTTACTGTGAATGCCGACTGACTTGAATGCTTCTAAAATACACTCGCGATGACGATCATACGTAATGGACTGCGTGTTGCGATCTCTGCCTCTGATGAGCTTGATGTCGAACCAATCTCGATTGCTTTGGAAACAAGGGAATGCCTCACCAGCAACGTGCCACCGATGAAAGAGATAAAAGGAAAGCATCATCAAAGGACAGATAACAACATTGGCGTTACGCATCGCAGCAGCAAACTCCACACGGCCCTCTTGGTTTGTTTTTCCTTGCTTAAGCACCATCACCAACGCATGACATTCAGTGACACCCTCGCGCTCAAGAAGTAACGTTTGTAGATCGGCAAGTTCCATCATACGAACGCTTTCGCCCCGTAGAAGTCCATAGTGTTGCAGAAGAAAAGCAGTGCAGTTTCGCAGTCCTTGTTGCTTGTTGGTGGCCAGAAAATGATCTACAATACGCTCCATCTCAGCTGATGTCGAATATCCATCTGCTGTCGTACGCATGCCTCTGTCTTCGTAGTTTTGTCGACTAAGCTCGTTTTCCACACGTTTCAAATGATCAACCAGTGCATGAACAAGCGGGCCACGCGGATGCGGACGATTGAAGCAAGGGTCTGTTTCGGCTTGTTCAAAATGGAGATCGACAATGGAAGTAATGTATTGTTTAACGGTAGCAAGCTTGACTTTGGGGGCGGGGGCATCAGGCGCAACAGGTTGCTCAACGGTATAACCCGGAGCATCGCGTACAGGTAGAGCAGCAGATGATGACGACGACGATGATGGCAAGATGGTGGTGACGGGCGAGAGAACAGCAGCAGACGAGGATGATGGCATGACGGCGGTGGCGGGCGAGAGAACAGCAGCAGACGAGGATGATGGCATGGTGGTGGTGATGGTACGCATGGCAGGAGCGGGTGACGAGGCGGGCGACAGCACAGAATTCTCTGGCTCTTTTCTCTTTCTTCCAGGTTTACGCTTCTCTCTGAAGACGACCTAAAAAGAACACAATTGTAAGACATGCGTACATATATAGATTGCGAACAGATATGTGGCTAACCTCTTCCACAAGAAAAAGATGAAGCTTTCTGTCGTCGATCAACTGGTTAGTGTGATCATTTGGACAGCGTCTTCGGCACCACTCGAGAAATTCTTCCTGCCTGGGAGAATACGATCTAACTGTATTCTGCGGACGGCTTCCTCGTGCTTGTTCGTATGTAGCTCGAGCAGCAGATTCAGCAGCAGCTTGATACTCTATTTGCGAGCTCATGAAAGAAGTATACTGTGGTAGAGGGGGAGGGACAGGGAGAGAAAGAGGACGTGGTGAGGCACCATTACTCGCCACCACACGGCCCGGGCGATTAGCCAAACGGGCGGTGCTTCTCCTAGCGGGAGTAACAGTGCTACCACGACCTCTGCTCATGTTGTTAAGATAGTGAACGATTTAATGAGGAATGGAAATGAGATGAAGGAAACGGAATCTGACAGATGTGCCTGACAAAAGAAAAGTGGCGAAGCTTCGAAAATTCTTTTTTTTTCCTGGATATCAAGATTGGGTCCCCGCTATGCTGTGGACCTGAGTCCGGACCCGCACTAAACACAAAATGATATTGCCAAAATATCATGCATATGCGTGTTGCCCGTACTCTCAATAATACAGGAGAACCTGCTTTTGGACCGAAACCGATGCATTATTATTACAGATTTCGGATTCGCCAACCAATTTGCATCGGCCAAGGACGATCTCATGTCAACCTCGTGCGGCTCGCCTTGTTACGCAGCACCCGAACTGGTCATCAGCGAAGGTCTCTATGTCGGTTCAGCCGTCGACATTTGGTCGTGTGGCGTGATCTTGTATGCCATGCTCTGCGGCTATCTCCCCTTTGACGACGACCCTGCGAATCCGGATGGCGACAATATCAACCTGCTCTACAAGTACATTTTGAATACCGAGCTTGCATTCCCGGATTATGTGAGTGCAGATGCCCGTGACCTGTTGCGGAAAATGCTGGTACCCGATCCAGCAAAACGATGCACTATGCACGCTATTATGGGGCATCCGTGGCTCAGGCCTCATCGCGCCTTGTTTGAAAAGTCTCTCGGTGATTTGGAGTTGGATGCCTTGGCTTCGGCTGAATTACCTTTGCCGCGTCGTGGGCCGGATGAACAAGAGCCTGTCGTCGTCGATAGACATCATACACCGCCGAAATCGAAATCGCCGCCAGCAGAAGAAGAAGCTGCAGTTGCACCAGGTCAACAGCAACCCGATCAGGAAACAGTAGCAGTGGTGCCATCCTCGCCTAGATATGATCAACAACAACAACAACAACAAGATGAGCAAATGGTGCCACAGGACGATGTTGACAGGATGGATATTGATACCGTACCTGAAGAATCAGCTCCACCACCACAAGCAACGAAGGGTGCTGGTGAAAATAACTTTGACGATAAAATGCTGCCCAAGATTGAGGAGCAACAAAAAGAGGATGAAAAAGATGCAAGCCAAGATCAGACTGAGAAGGATCAAGATGATGCTACGAATACAGCAGAAACAGAAAAACCAACACCGCTTGCCCAAGTTGATACTGCAGCACGTGATATTTCATCCATGGAGCTACCAGCCTCCGCCCATACGGAATCCATGAGCACCACCACAGCTGAGGACAAAGAAATGACAGACGTTGCGACTACGACGAGTGCGAATGCTGCTGCCGCTGCCGCTGCTGTTGCAGCTGAGTCACCTCAACCCACGCGGACAACTAGCAAAAAGGTACATCAGCGTGGTACAGAAATGATCAAGAACCTTCTATCAGTCTCGAAAGCATCCTCGAGTTCGACATCGCGACCCAACAGCACCAGCAGTAGTCGACGACCATTCTCGATGCAAGCCGAACCGCCACGATCTACACCGCAGCCGGGTAACTCGATTCTGCATGCCAAGTTCTTATCGAGTGTGCAGCGACATCAAGTGGCCACACCAACAGCTTCTTCACCGCCACCACCACCCAAATCGTCGTCTGGAAGCAGTGATTCGCCTTTGGTAAGCATGAGTACACCGAATGGTATGATGGCGATGGCCATGGATAAACCGTTGCCACAACGACCTCAAGAGCCATCACGTACGAGCATGTACCAACATCGACCTACGCCGCCAGCGTCGGCTGCTGCTGCACCTACACAATCGACAAGCACACGAGGCACGCGACGCAAGGCTCTTAGTTTGCTTGTGAATCCAATGACCAATCAAGATGGTGACAGACGAACGATTTCCTTTACGACCCGACGACCGTCAAGCCGACCTCAGCAACAGTCAGCACCGCCAGCAGGTCGCCAACAACAACAACAACAACAAGACCCACCTTCGTCGCCACGTCCGGACGTCAAATTCGTAGTTACCAAGGAAGAGCCACGTCCTCAATCGACAGTTTCTATGGCACCTTCGGCATCGGATCAGAGTACCACGCGAATGCCACCGAGTCCAACGTCACCTGATACCATGAGCCGAGAATACAAGCACAAGAGTGCTGGCAAGAAGCTGATGGATTGGTTCAAGAAGAAACCATTGAGTGAGTTTGAGAGGAGGGGGTGGCGACATAATTAGAAGGGGAAATACACTGTTGGGTTGGCTCTATAAAAACGTGAAGAAGCTAATGGTGCAATCATATGGAAAAAAAAAAAACAACGAAAATCCAGGTACCAAAGACAACAATAATCGATTGCACGCTGATATGATCTCGAATACCAATGCATCATGTGGCACATCCACTTTAAGCAAGCCGCTCGGATCTTATGCAGTTGACTTCAAGGATGCGAAACTACGTACATACCATGGCGCAGTTGATCAGAACGCACTCACTTCTCGTCCACCCCAAGAAGTGTTGGTCGAAGTCAAACAAACGCTTATATCGATGGGTATTGACGTCAAGGATGATGGTGAATATAAACTCAAATGTGTTCGTCGAAGGCGTCGATCGTTGCAACAGCAAGGCGCAACACCACCACATCATTACCATCGACAACAACAACAACAACAACAACAACAAGCGAACAATGTCCCTTCACCCTCACCATCATCACAATTAAATGATTATCACAAGAAACGACGCATGACATCTTCGGGCCCACGATTCCGTAACTTACTACGACGTACAAGCAACGCTGAAGTTCTTGCAAACAATGCCGAAGAAGAACCAGCAGGAACGACGACGAATAGTATTATCTATGGCGATCCAGTAGTCGATCCAGGAGAAGAAGTTCGATTCAGTATGGAAGTGTGCAAGATCAAGAATTTGCCTGGTCTCTACATTGTCGATATTCGTCGTATGCGTGGCAATGTGTGGTCATACAAGTTTTTGTACCATGCCGTGTTGGGTGCCTTGGACTTGGGTGGTAAAGGGGGTTACATGTCGACTCGCGCGCCGTCTACTACTACTACTACTACTAACAACGCAAACGAAAAGTTGCTTCGACCTCCACAACAACAGCAACAACAACAGGATGACAAAGCACATCGTATCAGCATGGCAAGTAGCAGCAACAACAGTAGCTGTGTCATGGACGATACCATATCTGAAGAAAAGGCGAGCATGTCTTGAAATAAAAACACCCCACACCTCCCGCAATACATCCTTTTTTACCTCCTCACACTTGCACCTCTTTCTATTACCATAAAGTAAAAAAAAGTTTGCTTTTTCTTATTTTACTGTTACTTTATATCTCACTTATACTACACCACAATCACACTATATATATATATACACACACACACAACACTGCACGTACCGCACACCACAACCACCACAACCACCACTACCTTTGATATCAACACATTCTGCAAACCGAATACCCTTTCCTTTATTTCACTCTTCTACACTGCACGCTCACTTTATTTTACACCAACTAAATGATCCGAGCTATACTTTTTTTTATCATTTTTTATAGTTTTATATAAACGACTCTTTTTTTTCCATGCAATTTATCCGGTTTGACAGACCAATGCTGCATACACTTTTTGCAATAACTGAAGATTGCCAAGTGGGCTATATAGTGTCACACACTGAAAGTAGATGTATACATGTTTTTGCTTATTGCAATAATGCGCTGTATGTGGATGGAGAGATAGTGTTCGTCAACGCGATATATGTTATTATTGATCTACGTTGTTGTCTCGTGATTTAAGAAGAGTGGCGACTTACAAAAGCTGGCTTGTCTGTGATCAGAACGTTGGTGGCTAACAGACAACACCTTACTACTACCCGGCTAACCTCAGCGTTGCTGATAGCCAGCTACTACAGCGGCATACAGCAATCAGAGTATGGAACAAATAGTACTCAAATACAAGGTCGGCACAATATATCACGCTGAGAATACTTCCTTCCATGATATCTTCTAAGCTTCTAGTAATATGGATCTTATCATGCATTCCTCTTTAGGTTTCTTACGACGATAATGAAAATATGATATATAGAATTACTGTACAGCTCTGTTATCATCATTCAACCATTCTATACTTCTTTACATGATCTGTTTTGGCTTTTTTTACAACTTTTACTTTTATCTTAATATATCAGGTTATCCCAAGTCGCGAGCGATGATGCTCACTACAACTATACTACACTGCTTTAAGAGGTCTGATATGAGATATAAAAAAAAACAACTTTAAAGTAGCACTAGGGAAATACAGAGTTGCGGCAGATGTTAAAGAATTGAAAAAGCTGTAGTATGTAAGCAACAGCGTCCCATCTCATGTTATGCATCATGGTCCCTTCTTCTTGTGTCACTCAGCAATATGATGCAATTATGTCAGCATTCAAGGCGCGCTTTGATGAAGCACGTACTGTACTCTCAAAGATTCATCTTATAGATTAAAGCAGAAGATCAACCCATTTTAGAATTAATTGGACATCTAGATACAAGGGAATGTGAATACACCAAATATTATAACTTTTCTTAAAATACATATTACATTATAAGGGGTATTGTACCTACGTTTTTTTACACTTACATAACAAAACTCATGACTGCATTTTCCATTGATCGGTGAGAAGCATCACAAAGATATAAGACTGGTGAAATATGCCAAAAACAAAAAGAAGGGCCTACTTCATGAATATATTGTTACAATTTGAGATTTGGTTCGTGTTATTTGGAAAGACACGTTATTGTTGATGATGCTGTTGCTGCATTTTGTTGGCAAGGTATCTTGTATGCAGGGAAATACAAATAAAAGGGGCAAAGGTAGATGTAGAATAACCGTATTTTCAATGTCATAGAATGAGTGATGAGATAGATCATCTCATGCCCTCTTGGCTTGTTTTCTCGTCTTGTCAATCTTGGGACACGCGTCAAATGTCAAGGTTTGCAACGCTTCTTTATAGATTGTTCGGAAACGTCCACATCCCAAAATTGTAAAGTCCTTGCATGCATGTTCAGCAACTCTATGTGTGTTCCACTGACGAGGCGGCGTCTCTTCCAAGTAGGCTTTAGTCGACTGCTCAAAGCTCACGGCTGTTTTAAATATTCTTCGCAGATATCAAACAACGTACATTATAGCTTTCAAGAAACAACTGACGAGGAAGACATGTTGGCAAATATTTTATAAGCGGTTCAATAAGAGATCCATTTCTATACTATGATAAACGCTAGACCCAAGTCCGTACGCAGCAGTCATATATCGCGTATTTTAATCATTCTACATGCTGCATTATGATATCTCCAATATATCAGTCATTTATTTCCTAATGTTTTTTCTGTAGTATATGCTACTTGCTGTGTAATACTTGCCTGTTGACGCCATCGGCTCGCTGTAGGCCACAAGATAGAAGGGGTCTAGCTTTTTTTTATGATATAATCATTACTCAAGAGAGTTTTTACGCATATATCACTACTGATATATTATGTTACGATGATTCAGATCAGTTTACTTTTCTTTACTGAACTATATGTTGTAGTGAGCTATCGCTTGATGCACCTTCTGCGATGTCAAAGGCTTAATTTTTACAACAGCTGATTTCGGATTATCTGAGAAATGCGCTATGAAAAAGAATGCTACACATGCAGTTACCTTGGAGAAAAGAAGAGAAACACAAATTCTCACTGCTACACATAGTGCAAGTTGTGAAGCGGCGAAGACGATTGAACACAGTCAGAAAGAAAATGGATATTGCAAGGTGAAGCGACACGCAAATACCTTCACAAGGAAAGAAATTGTAAATGAGTTTGAGCAGGACATAAAGTAAAAGAGCAGGTTTTTATTCATTGTAATATTAGAGTAAAGAAACATTTTATAAAAGACAAAAGTTATCGTTATGAATATCAATAGTCGAAGAGTACAAATTTTATTAAAAGAACACAATCAGTGGACAATAAAGACAAATAATAAGAACGCGATTTTAAAAAGTGACCTCAACAAGCAGTTCGCACAACCTGCAGGCTATACAAAAAGCATGAAGAAAGCAAGAAGAAACAGAAGAAGTATATAAAAGGGGGAGGAAAAGAAAGCCACCAATGCCTCGGCCTGGGAGTCCCAGTCTCCCAATCATTTGGTCGGGTCAATCAACCACAAACCCAGCCATCACGGTACAAACGAGTGGGAACCATGACGTACGCTACGTTTCGAGAGTCAAGTGCAAGCAATCGGTTGTGGATTGCCTGTGAGTGGGGAAGGGGGAAGGGAAGGACGGAAGGAAGATGGAAGGGTAGACGGAAGGGAAGGAAGGGAGGGAAGGAAGGGAGGGAAGGACGGAAGGAAGATGGAAGGGTAGACGGAAGGGAAGAGGAAAGGGAAGAGGAAAGGGAAGGGGTGGGGGTAGGGGAAAGAATTGACTCTCGAAACACCCAAAAAAGAAAAAATTTGCTGCTGTTGTCGAATGCTGGAGGAGCTGCTTACTGGATACTCCGATGCTGGGAGCCGAACACTGAAGCTGGGAGCTGATTGCCGAGTGTCCATTGCCGAGAGTCGAATGCCGAGAGTCGAATGCCAGAGAGTTGATCGCCGAGAGTCGAATGCCGAGCGTCGATTGTCGAGAGTCGAATGCCGAGCGTCGATTGTCGAGAGTCGAACGCGATTCACAGAGGCACCTGGTACCTCAATGCGAACCCCACCATGGCAGACCAGACCAGACCAGCAGACAAGGCATCCAACCGAAAGGACACTACCATATCTCTATGGCGAAAACCCGAAAAGGATTTCTCCGTCCTCTGATCTCGCCTGAAGACCGGTTGTGACCAACACCGTTGAACGCCAGACTGGACAGCCCAAAGCAGGGACCGGTTGTAGGCAGCCAGGGGGACCACGGGAAAAAGGCTGAGACCAGGACCGACAGAGGCAAGACCAGGACCAAGGGAAGAGCCAGAGCGAGGGGAAGAGCCAAGAGAAAGACCAGGAAGATCCAAGGGAGTGAAAGAAAAAGAAAAGTGAAGGAAAGAGCAAAAAGGAAATGGCCTGAAAAATGTGGGCGTATTTATGTTTTTGGATTCACCCCCGGCTTAAAAAAAAACCACGTCACGTGACTTGTGATTCGTCATTAAATTGGCATGTGGGAAACTAAAATGGCAGGGAAGAAACCATGTGAAGAAGAGGTGTTGAAGAGACACAGTCAAGCTGTCAAGAAGAAGGCGTATGTGGTCTGCGTGTCTTGATTGTCCTACGAAATATGTTTCACCGGCATCATGCAGGGCATGCCCCGACGGTGTCGCCGCCTGTTTATAAATAGGAAGGTGCGGGCCACAAGGCGCACATACAGGATTTCAGGAACACGATCACAAATATAAGGTAAATGGCAGGTGCCAGGAATGGTTGACATTGTAGAAAGTAAAAATTATTCTGGTATTGTAACAAGAGGCTCACATAAGAAGAAGCCATATTACTTTTGTGTCGAACAAGAAGAATGTCGCCTATATCAACGCTCATACTATTAAATAAACATACTCCTTTTTCATCATAATATGTTTGCAGCTATTCACGGAAGACTTTGGAATGATTATTTTTGAAGGGAGGGGTGAGGCACGGAGTGTCAAGTTAATGTATACATCATGAGAGCACAGTACATTATTATAAAAGAAACAATGCGTCGTCCTTTTATTGGCTCATTCGTATCACCCATTGTTTCCACTTGAGTGCAAACTGTTCAAAGTACGTGCGACTGCCAGGATGATTCCACGGCAAATAAATTCTATTATAATTAGATTAACGCAAATCGCACACTTAGGGCGATACAAGCAACGACAGATAGTAGAGCTAAGTTGTCCCATGAGGAAGCGCAGGGAATTTGCCTTCCAACAAAAATCTGAAGCACACATTTTTTTTACGGAGACGTATTAAATTTATTTAATATGAATATGCACTTCAAAGGTATGCTAAATGAATAGATAAGAATAAAGAAGAGGGAGCTGTAAATCCTTGCTGTGGGCTACTAATAATACTAGTAGTGATAACAAAAAGAGGTTATAGACAACAACGGTAGCTAGCCAACAACATCTTTAATCTAGTGGTCGGTGTCGTCGACTGTCTGGATACAGTACTTCTTGTTGTTTGAAAGGATACCGGCCTGCAAAACGGCGGGGAGCTAATTATCATTACAAAACGTAGTCAATTAGTATATGATTTAATTCAATGATATCTACCATTAGCTATATGAAGCTTTTGATATGACAAAGGAATATATGCTTATTATACGTACAACGCCAGTGAGATCGCCTTGACCCTCGCAGCCATGGATGGTAATGTCGTCGTCACCACCACGATGGTGACCATCGCTGTGGTGGTCATCATGGTCGTAGTTGGGACGAGCAACGGCGGAAACGGCGAAGACGGCGAAAAGAGCAGCAGCGGCGGTGATGAACTTCATTTTTGGTTATGGATCGGTTGAGGTAATAAAGTATTACTTGAGATGATGATGTCTCAAAAAAAACTTATTGGACAGACCCTTTTTATATCTTTTGACCGCATCCAATATCCTGGGCTTATCTTCCTGCAACTTCATGCCGTATTTTTTTTGTATAGTGAATCAAGTATAATAACACATCGATGGTAGCATTGTTTACCTGACCTCCGAATCGTGCGTCTGAAATTAATAACGGTTTATCAAAAAATGAAAATTTAATTAAACGTTATGCATTTTGCAGGGAGCGGTGATTAAAAGAAACCGTTTGCGGCAAAGGAAAACAAAAACGTTCAAATTAAAGAAGCATAGTTGCTTTGATACGAAGGACTTCCAAGTGCAGAGTATGCACGTTGCTACCTCCCTCTTTTTCATTGATAATGTTGCTCCTAAAGATTGGCAGCAGCTTTATCCATATCAACGCTCATGCTGTATGTATGTGCTTGGCATGTATCATACATTTCATATACGATCCAGATAAGGTTGAACACGAAACTGTGTTCTCTGCCTTGTCCTGCGTGTTATCAAGTGGCCTCTTACTACAGCTAGACTATGCAAACCGGCGTTGGTAAAACAGAGAATACACAGCGCCTACACGAGTACCCGATAAGTTGCGTTATTCTATACGATGGATCTACGATTCACACCAGCAGCATTACTTCGTCTCAACTATACTTGATTCAAGTCAAGTTCAAAGAGGAATGAAATGTTCTTTGTAACTAGTGTAAAGGTTTCGCGTTTAGACGAGATAATTGTGCTCAAGATGAGCAACGGTATAAAAAATTTATCTGATACATCGATGACTCTACTGTTTCTAGGTACATATCCTATAGTGCGCACGTGCAAGTCCAATATTGAGTCATTACTACGCAAGACTTCTTATTGACACTCCAAGTTCTGCTACAGCATCTAACATGGCTGTGGATCGTATTCTGTGCGAGTCTTTATCGTGTCTCATACATTTAAAAGTCAAGTTGTATAAGGTCACGAACGATACGGCATCGATTCTTTGCAGTAGCTACGAAGGAACTGTAGGACTCCTTTTTGCTGATGCGGTGGGGGAACTTGTATACGAGGGTGTGCAACAAGAGCAGCATGCTGTTTGGAATGTCTATAGAGTCATGCGTCGTCATACTAACAAAAAAGCAATGGTGTCCAGAAATGTATTGCGGAACTTTAAAGTTTATGTAACACGGCTGCTCACACGGTGCTCAACGACATGCATTGTAAATCATTTTCTTCACCGATATGGATCAGCCGAAATTTTGTAGTCAAAGGAGCTAGCTAAAAATAGTCAAACGCTACATGGCTACCTTTTGTCACTTTACAGATTTTTGATCGTTTGGTTGATCAAGGTAAATATCTAACTGTGTCTGATCATCTTTAGCAAAATGAAGCGTACAGCAGCAAGGTTTACACGAATTGCAGGTCCCATATACAAAGAGATAGGAGGGTTGTTTCTCAGAAGGAACACTAGTCTTTGTCACATCGAGTACCACTACTCCTTCCTATTTGCACGTTTCAAGTCTCAATACATAGCAATAGCTTATTTGTATCTAACTTTATTAACAAAAAAAAACTGGTATGATAGCTTTCATTTGAGACCTGCTGCTCCCAATAGTACTACACAATATTTTGAAGAAACAGAAATTTCTGTTTGGTCAGTCGCGAGGAGAACTCGCAATAGTTCAATTCTTAAATTCAGTTTTAATAATACAAGCTGTTGTCTCAAAGCGAGTACACTTTATATCGTACATTCTCTAACATTGTGCAGTAGCTCATCATCAATTGCGCAATTATAAAAGTACGTATGACGACTGCGCACAAGCGAGCTCAAGCAAACGATATGAACGTCGTGACGGATACCGTACTAATGCAAAACCCTACTTGCTCGAGCAGAGCTAAAAGCGCGGCATTGCTGTACAAAATAAGGGTGATACCGCTCTTACCATTTATCCTGCGCGTAAATAGCTCAACCAGCGATATCTCGAGCTCATCAGCAGAACACAATCATCCCTATTGATTGACGCCTTCCGCATGAAATATTCCTGGCACTGCTTTCCATTATACAATCGCGATCGATTGATGCTGATATTTAAATTTTGCCATACGTCTCTTCATTACCTACGGCCAGATATGTGGGGGGGGGGGTTTGCTATTGATACGATTCTTGATACAGGGATCATGTCACGCACAGAAAACACAGTGCAGCAATTTCTTTAACCGTATACCATCCGGTCAAGTCCGGAACGTCAAGCTTAATCCGGTATCAGAAGCTAGCTCCGCATCACCTGAGGAGGAATATGGAATGAGACCACAACGCTCGCTGCTGATTATTAAGACCGTGATGCGCAGCAAGTGGCAGAGAGTCCAGTCACTCGGCAAGCGGAATAATGACCAGCGCGTGAGCTGGCAGATAACTGTAATAACAATCAATCAATGCAGATAGATACTTGTTCACTGCTTCTGGTTTACTCCTTGACCTAGGCTTTACAACAAAAAAAAACTACTGAATTTTGTGTTTTCAATAAGTCACCCAGCCAAACCAGGTTCGATCAATCTGTTTCCTGCATCAACACAAGATTTTGTAATGATATTAATCACAAAAACGAACAGAACGCAGGGGAAAAAATGCCACAGAAGGAAAACATAGATTCCGCAAACGGAATCGGAGATGACCAACGCGCGAGCACGCTTTATTAAGACTTATGCACCCGGATTTATGCAGCCACTCTTCTTTATCTTTTCTCGCCTACCTAATGTCTAAAATTCCATTGACTGACAAAATAAATCTAATGGCTGCGGTGTGTAAACAGCGCTCGAATGTTAATAACGCTCAGAGCAATTGAAGTTGAACTTTTATAAGAAATTTCAAGCCCAATAGCAATACGCTGGACTGATCGCGTCTCTCGAAAGTGTCAGGTCCGAACCACAGCAGTTGAGCACAGCAGCACGTTGTGAAATCTGGCACTATTATAATGATCCGGTCCCTGGACCATTGTCCGATCAAGCGTACGGGCGACAAGCAAGTCAAAATAATTGATTTGATTGAGAACTTCTTTTAATTTTGACTAATCACCTATTTTTAACCTAAAATACTTATCAGTGTATCGCCTTGATCATACACTGTTTATAACGGGGTTCGTTGTGTATAAAGCGCAAGCGCGATCTTCCACGAGCATATCGCCGCCAATGTATGCAACTACAACGTAGATATTTCACTGAAGAAATTAGCGCTTCTGATCTACACTTAATATTTTTTTAGGCTCGGCGCTGTGATTACGCAATCAGAAAAGAAAGAAACGACCACGACATAGTTAGCAGCAAAATTAAACTTCACCTTGTCAAAATGGGATTATTGGATTTCAACGGTCGATCTAAGCCTCTTGTAGGCTATAGCGAGTACGTCCGGCCCAGAAAATTTTCGAACCTTTTGAGCGCTGAGATACACTGTTGTTACCCCCGGAACCACCTATAACAAATGATTCAAACATACAAAAGAACCACACACCAAGCGACATTCAAAATACAATACATTGTAACCCACCTTGTTGTCCCCACTATATTTTGGTCAATAAGCGAGCTGTTTTGCTATTGTATTAACTTCATAATCTTTTTGTATCATTATTTGTCGGTTTACTCTATCATTTCCATCACAGTCTTGATGTAAGCACGAGTGCAAATTTCAGCAATACGTTTACTGCGCAACACTACTTTTACTGCGAGTGCAAAAACAACTCACACTAAGTGTAAAAGCATTTCGTACTGCTGCGGTATTCATTGGATCAAAAACCAATTAGATAAGTCATAGACAGTGTATTAGAATTAGTATAAATAGACCAATATTTTGTATCGAATAATAAACAGTTCAGTTCTTTAGCTTCTCTTTCTGTTAACTTTAGCTTTCCCCTTCCTGACAAAGGATTGTATTTTTTGATTACAGACGTAATAATTCCTGGTTATTGAACTCCACACTTTTATTTTATCACTTTTGCTTAATACTTAGCATATCATCCAGATATATCAACTTTTCTTATATTATCCATCCTAACAAACGAGATTCGTAACTCTTACACAAACTAAGATGCCACACCGCAGCAAGTCTACAGCTCTCTCGCACCCCAAAATTATCTTACAGGAACAACCATAGTTAGAGCGAATCCTTTACTTTTGTACGGGTTTGACGGACAGCTTGTTGGATAAGAGCATTATTACCGCAGCATGAATAATTTTAGACATTATTTAATAACCAGAAAGATATAAATACCCCATCATTTTTGATTTTTGAAGTTACCTCCCACTCTTCTGTTTAAAACTTTAGCTGTTTTTTAATCACTCAAGACCCAACGCGGCTTGTTTCACTCCAATCCCTGTTTATTTGCTCTTTATCGAAGGCTGAACGACGAAGCTTCATGAGACGCAACATTCCTGATCCTTATCTATGATCACTGAGCTTAACCAAGACAACAGCTCGTTGCTTTTTAAAGTTTGAACATAAATCACACACATTTTGTTTGGTCTATGCATTCAAATCTTCACATACAACTCGTCTGTAGTAAACAATACTACTACTGATACTCACTATAGAACGTACTCAAAAACCGCTACGCAACTACTCGGCAGATCCCAGCGTAACACTGTAACGTAACATTTGACATCCGATTTGGTGGAGAAAGATATTTAAAAGTGACAAAAAGCTAATAAAAGTGAATATGTTTTATAAGTTTTAGGGATAATAAAATTGAAGGATCGCATCCATGCGTGGTGTTGTGCGTATAAGAGTAGGGCGAGGCCAATGCTACCTACAGCTAATACATTGTGCACATTGATCATATTCTCAAAAGTCGCTCATATCAAAAAAATGATTTCAATACGTCACGCAAAGCCAAGGAATGCATACACACATGCAACAGTCGATTTAGTAAGAGCAATACTGCTCGCATCAATTCCAAAGTATTATGTAAGTGTTCAGTGTGTTCCCGTGCGCAGAAGAAAGGCTTGTACTACAAC